CAGTTGTACAAATATGTCTACTACTGCAGAATGATCTCCAGGATATAATGTGTATATAATCTGCTACCATTTATTTAAGAGTAAAATATGTTAATGATTATTTATGAAAGGGGAAATATAAACATTCTTATTCATAATTTGCTTATGTTAAAAAAGGGGAAAATAAAAAATTTTTAAATGGTTACTATAGGGGAAGAGAGGACTTAGCGTACAGGAGTCAGGAATGGAAGCTGAACTTCTGACCATAACTTGTTCTGTAGCTCCAAAGTTGGATCCAAGTAAATAAAGCAACATAAAATCAAAAGTAGTAAGAAAGCACAGTCTGTATTTAAAAAAGCAAATGGTTCTAACTGTACCAAATTGGTGGTGACACAGAGAATAATTATTTTACCTGACTTTATAGCAGTCATTTGACTGTAGAAGTGAGTATTCCTGAAAACAAAAAGAATTGCATAGTCATCTTAACTTGAATAATCATACTGTTTATAATGTATTATTTTGAAACTATTAAAAATGAAATAAAGCAAATAATTAGTGCCATTTGCAACCAACTCAGCCTGAGTGACGACATGAATATACAATCGAAGTAAAAAGCCTGCAGTTTTGAATTACATGAATTCTTAATGTATTTTCTCTAAAAATACGCGCATCCTAGCTCATTCAATTGAAACATCCTAAATAAGGCAACCAGTCCAGTAGTATTGCAGCTTAGTTTCTAATTTATTATAAATAGAAGGGCTTTTTGATAAAATGACTGGGTTATAGCCCCAGGCAACAAATACACAAGATGAGCCTGGTACATCCTGTCATACTAGAAAGGCAATTAGGTTATCCAAGACTGCTTCAGGTCTTGTCAGAAGGACTTAGGTGCTAATAAAGGGTTTCCTGTTGGCAAAAGGTGGGAGAGTTTGGACATCAAGGATGCTGACAGTGGATTAAAATTTATAAAATAAATTGAAATCCGTGAGTTCATAATGGGACTTAAAAAATTATTGGTCAACTTTAGAAGATGCTGGCGATTTAACTCATTTTGAAAACTGGTAAATAAGGAAAAGAAATAAAATCCCTTCATGAACTATGTACCTCAGAGTTAACAAATACAATGAGGGAGAAGTTTCTCTTTATAGAAGTATTCTACCTAATAATGAAGAAAAGATGTTTTGAGTAACTGATGAATGATGTCACCACTTCACTGCCTCTAATTAATGGAAGAAAACATATGATCATCAATGGCTACTAAAAAATACTAGATATGAAGTGATGGGGAGCTTTATAATGGATGGATAAGGCTGGCAGTACCTGAGTCCACAGATTTTTACTAAATCTCACACAAAAGGAAACAACAGAACATTAAATGCCATCTGGTAGAAGTCCACAACACCACGTATAAACTATTCTTGTCAAGAACAGAACTTAAATCTGATCAAGCCTCTAGATATAATTGCCAGTTTATAAGAAATACAAGGGATAGAAAAATATATTAAATGATAACACGGGTGCACTTAGCAAAATCTAGAAAGCAGAATGGAAGAAACAATTATGAGACTAAAAGTATAGCCTGATGTGGATATTTAATATTCAGTATACTTAATTTAAATGTTTAATAATATTAAATCTTTAATATTAAAGAAGTGATCTTTTAAGATATATTGGTATTGCAAATGTTTACAAATAGTTTCTTAGTTGAATCAAGATTGGTATGAGTTGCTAATTGTGGAGCTGGGTGATAGATTCATGATAATTCATCATATTACTCTACAGTTTATATTTGAAATTGTATATAAAAATAAACTTGAAAAGACACTTTAATTTGAATTACTATTTTATCTTTTAAATGTGGTATTTCTCCTTAATTTACCCTAAGAAAACACTATAACTTTATCACAGTACCTATTAATGGTGGTTTTTCTTCTGTGAATTAAGTGAGGAAAAGAATTCAATGGGTTTATTTATTTATTTATTTATTCCATGGGTATATTATCTGAATTAAGAATTCAGTGTTTTTAGTAATCTACCTACCACTTTAATAGTATTGTGCTAGTGAGATTTAATATACTTTAAGGATAACTCTTAAGTGTTGTACAGATATTTCAGTTTTATAAAAGATTAGTAATACTGGTTGTTACCTAAAATAAAATATTAATTGGAGATCAGAGATTTAGTAGCCAAATTTGTGAGTTTTACATAAAATATGTAAAACTGTGCCCCCTGTATCTCTTTGATTTACTTATTTAGTCATTCATCTACCTGTGAAACATTGTATTCTTCATTTAATGCTTGACATAAAGCAGCAATAAGCCAATCCCAGCACTCAAGGAACGTAAGGTCTTAGATGGGGTACCTGAAAACAAAAACACTACAGTGATTATTACATCGTTTGCTCGTAACCAAGATAGAGGTATATATTCAAGAAGTTTTGGGAGTGCTGAGAAAGGATACCTGATTTAACATTGGGTTGAGATAGAGTTAGCAGAGATTTATTGGAGGAGTAGCTGTGAGGTGGGACTCAAGTTAAAAAATTACATAATAAAAAGAAAAGAGAAGGAATGATACAAAGGCAGGAAGTGGAAAGAGTGGCTTTCAGAGAATTACATTTAGCTTGCCATAGCTTGAACTTAGGGATTTAAGTAAGCAACCAGTTGAAAATAGATTGGAGAATTAGAGATTCCTGAAAGGTCTCATAGATGTTTGTTGAACTTTGTTACAGAACAGAAGATTTAAAAAAGAAAGGCCACAATCAGCTTTTTATTTTAGAAAGAGCATTTGCAGCAATAGGTGGAAATAAAATTTCTTAATTAGGGAGAGGCTTTTGATCTGTTTTAGCTCAGAGTTTTCAGTCTATAATTTTTTTTCTGGCCCCGTATATATTTGTCTTTCATTTTTAAAATCTCTTTTTAAAAAAATCATGCAAAAAATTTACGTAATTCTAAAACTGAAGACTCATTTCAGTTGCTGTTCCTTCTGGTCTTCCCTCCTTCTCTCTTTAGGTGATCATTTTTTAATAGTTGGGTTATTCTGCCATTGTTGCTTTTCAAAAAATAGAAGCGAATACATATAAATATTTTTCTTTCTTATGCAAAAGAGACATTCTGTAAACTTTTTTTTTTTTTCACTTAAACTGTATCTTAGATCATTCTATGGCAGTAAATAAGATATTCCTTACTCTTTTTGCATCTTGTTTGTTTGGTTTTTTTTGAGATGTTTTGCTCTTGTTGCCCAGACTGGAGTGCAGTGACGTGATCCTGGCTCACCACAACCTCCACCTCCAGGGTTCAAACAATTCTCCTGACTCAGCCTCCCAAGTAGCTGGGATTACAGGCGTGCGCCACCACACCCGGCCAGTTTTGTATTTTTAGTAGAGATGAGGTTTCTCCATGTTGGTCAGGCTGGGCTCGAACTCCCAACCTCAGGTGATCTGGCCGCCTCTGCCTTCCAAAGTGCTGGGATTACAGGTGTGAGCCCCCGCTCCTGGCTCTTTTTGCATATTCTTTATCCTACTAAAGAACAACTCAATAAAATACTTTATTCAGTATTTCTAATACCCAAGGTAAAGGCATTCTAACAATAAACCCGTGCGATTAGAGTAGCCTAGCCTCGGGTTGTTGCTTTTATCTCCAGTCAGTACTACTGCCTAAAGAATGTGAAAGGAAAGATTTCTATATTCATTTAAGAATTTTGATTTGTTAACAAGCAGTCTGTATTAGCTATGCATCTGGAGTGACTAATGACTAATAAGAATTACAGGCCTGTAATATGCTGTTTTTGGACCTCAACACTATGTGACCAGAGAGTAGACATGATGGCAAAAATGATGTTTGTAACATAAGCCTTTAAGAAGCAAATTTTAATTTACCGTTTCTGTGAATATAACATTTATTCCATTAGATTTAAAAACAATAATGCTTATTCATACTTTAAGCATTTATATATATCACCTGTAGAATCAAAATTCTTCCTGCAAACTTTTATTTCTGTTTTCATGCAGAAATTATTAAATTCTTGCTCTGGAAAAAGAGAATTACTGTGTTGTCTTAGAGTAAATACCTCCATCTGGTGGCATTTTAGAAAATTACAGAAGAGGACAGGAAGCTTGTATTTTCTTGTGTATCTGTAAACTTGTTACCTGTGGTTTCTCATAAAGCCAAATGAAATTACATCAAAATCTGATTCTACCGTATGTACCAGAAATTTAATGCCCTAGTTTTCAACATATAAACAAATGACCTTGGGGATAATTATATAATGAACTGTTTAGTCCAGACCATTTCTGCTCTATCTTGGACTAAAAATTAGAAATGGAAAAAAAGATAGTTTATGAAATGTTAATTGCTTTTGTATGTATGTGTATGCATGTTAGGAAATATGAGAATTTGCTATTTCAGATTTATTGCTACAGATCCATGAAGAACTATTAATTAATGTTTTCTCAGACAAGCAGCGTTACTGATTTTTTAAAATAAATTATATTTTATCATAGCTCGATTATAATAAACTACATTCTCCTGGAGTGATAGAGATGGAAACTTGAAAACAGGCAGAAACTACAAATAAATTTCTGCTTATTACTGTTAAGAGTTTTTTTTAACACGTTTAATCTTTTCTTCGCACATTGCTTACTTTATAATTGCTAGAACTTTATAAAGGTAGGTATCATGGCTTCAACTTCTTGACTTCTCAAAGTTTCTAACCCAGGATCTTGTACTTAGTGGATTTTGCATTTTGTCTTAGAAGATTACAATCTTGTTGCTTATGTTTTAGCCATAAAAATCTATAAAATGTATCATAAATCTATCAAGTATGTAATATATCACGTATAAATTATCAAGTATGACAGTTGTTACTATAGATTAAGTCAATTTATTTTTCTATTTTGTTGGCCAAAGATAGTTGAAATATTAAGTATGAAGTGAAATTTAATGATTTGGGGCTTTCTGCTGACGTCTAAGAAAAATTAAATTCCTAATGAATTTTGTTTGAAATTGTTTATTTTCAAATTATAGCCAGTCGGATGATGATTCTGGGTCAGCTTCAGGCTCTGGATCTGGTTCGAGTTCTGGAAGCAGTAGTGATGGAAGCAGTAGCCAGTCAGGTAGCAGTGACTCTGACTCCGGATCTGAATCAGGCAGTCAGTCAGAGTCTGAGTCAGACACTTCCCGAGAAAACAAAGTTCAAGCAAAACCACCGAAAGTTGATGGAGCTGAGGTAATCAATAAAATACCCAATGAAAGGTAGATTGCTTGTATTACTTTGGGAAAATTTAGAGGATTGGTTTATACCATTCTTAATCTAGCTTTTAGGGAAGACAGCGTTTTAAATTAAAATTTACTTTTAGTGATCCTCACATTCATGGTGGTACACGTGTGGACTAATTGGCTTGGAATAGATGCATTTTCGAACTAGAAAACACATAAGTGTAAATCACATGCAGGCAAATAAAACGTTTTCTGCCTCTTACGCAGAAATTGAGTTTCGTAAATATCCATTGTGTCATAGATACAAATTTAAGACATCCTGAGGTCTACTTGTTAACCTTACTGTGTATGATCTCTACTTTCAAGATCTTCAAAGGAAATACTTTATTGCTGCTAACAGAATAATTTGATGGAACTCAGATTCCTCAAAGATAATGATAGAATAGGATAAGGGGCTATTCTGTTTGAAAAAAACTACTACAAGAGATATAAAAACTTGTCTATACCTCATGGTAGTGTACAGTGTTACTCAGAGTACCTGTCTGTGATGAGATAAGATGCTTGAGGGCCAGAATATAAATCGACACAGGCTTCCTTCATAGAAAAATATGTTACTACTGCCCCCCACCAAATCTGAACTAAAACAATGTGCCTAGTGACATCGTTGGTGTATATTCTGACTCAGCCTCTTCACCTCACACTGATAAAATAGGTAACCACACTATGAGTTGCACTAATAAAGCGTATTATCACTTAGATGCTCTTAATATCAAGAGGATATTGATTAATATTGTCTGTGGAACTCAACACACCATTTTTTTTATACATAACTAAAACTCAGCATTTTATTTAATTATATTGCAATGATAATCGTGTTACATATAGGTAAGGAAAATAGTCTTTATTACTTTGAGGCCGTAAAGATGGTGGTACAGCTTTTCAATAAATTAACCTTTTTTGCAATTTTCTTAATACTTCATCGTTCACTGGTTTATATTTCTATTATAGTTTTGGAAATCTAGTCCTAGTATTCTGGCCGTTCAGAGATCTGCAATGCTCAGGAAGCAGCAGCAGCAGCAGCAACAGCAACAACAACAACATCAAGCCTCATCTAATAGCGGATCAGAAGAGGTGCATTTTCATCATGAGCTTTTATTTTAAAAGTGGACATGCTGCTGAATCACTTAACTAGTATTTGGTGAAATTATTAAAAATAATAGGTGCTTTGAAAGAATAAGTAGGAAATACTTTAAGTGTATATATCAAGAATGTTGAAATGCACCTTTTGCATTATCCAATAATTCCAATTTTAGGGATTAATCCAAAATAAGCAGTGGGACATTTGTGTGCATTTGCTCATCACACCAAAGTTAGAAATAATGTGAACTCCGTGGGAAATAATTAAATTTGATATGCACCTACACACATATATCCATATACATGTATGAATGAAGGAATATTATACCATTAAATCATATTTGTACAAAATAATAACAGAATTCTCAACATAATATTTTTGAAAGAGTAAATTGTTTCAACAGTGTAGTTTGTGTGTGTGTGCAAGCATGCATACATGTATGTTTGCACAAAAACAGGAAAAATTATAACAAAAAGTAATAGTAATGGTGAAGAAAAGAGTTCAAAACTTGGCATGCCGGCACCTAGGATTTCTTGTTTTGGCTATACTAGGCAACAATAATGGTCTCCAGAGAGGGTAGATTTTAAGGTTTTATACAAAGTGCTGACATTTTGCTGTTTACTTAATTTCACTGGCTATATTAATTTGCAATAAAAATGTTACTGATTCCTTTCAGCTAGTTAATATAAATAAAACTACATTAAAAAAGGCTTCACAAGTGCTATTATTCGTAAAGTGAATGTTAAATAGTATAGCAAGTAAAATTTTGATATGGTTACATTCTAATCATTAGTGGATGATACTGACTTTTTTTTTTTTTCTGCAGGATTCTTCTAGCAGTGAAGATTCCGATGACTCATCAAGTGAGGTCAAAAGGAAAAAGCATAGAGAGTATGTCATTTTGTTCAACTGACTTCTTCATTTTAGAAAAATCTTAATGATTTCATATTTCTTTCTTTATGAAAATTGTTACCAAAAGGAAAGTCTTCTAAATTCTTAGTTCTTGGCATTTTATAAAGTTAATTTACACCATTACACCATTTAAAGATAAATCTTTAACATTTATCTTTCTGTGACTACCCAAGGGTATTGTGCCGTTTCTTTATCTCCTATAACTCCCCCTATATATTTTTAAACTTTAATGATCTCCTTAGTTGTAATATCGGAAGATGTTAATAACTTGGGAATATAGGAGTATAGGGATGACAGGATGACTGATTTGGGATGATTCTTATAATTATGTTAATAGCTATCCTTACTATTCAGCTGCATGTGAAATTTACTTCATACTGTAGAACTCATTCTAGAAACTCACTGTATTTTCCTAAAGATTTTGACCCAGCAAGTATTAAGAATACTTCAAAATTTCAATCCATGTTTATTTTAATGGTTTGGAAACATTCCATTTTCTTGACTTTTATTTTCCTTTGCCTTTGATACTCTGCCTATTAGAGTGGTTACTTGCCTTTCCCAAAAGATTCAGGCATTTTTAATGTGAAGACTCATATCTTTTATTAGTCTGTTCTATCTTTTATTCTGAAAGGTCAGTCATTTATCTTTGGATTTTTTTTCCTTTTTCTTTCTACAAATCTCTCTGATCCTCCTATTAATAGATGTATATTGGATCATCCATTTTTTTTTTCTGTTATAAAAATATAAAATGGAGACTTCTTGGCATGCAAGCCCTGAAAAGATGTCAAAGTAAAAAATTTGCTTCTATTATGTTTTTATCATAAGCAGATATGATCATATACGCTTGTTTATATAGCCTTCATCATAGTTACAATTGGTGCAAAAGATACAGAGCAATGAAGCAGAAGCATAGCTGAAATAGGATATAGTGTATTTGTAAGAATTCAGTATGTACCTTTCATTTGAACTTCTTATGATAGCAAAATATTAACATCCATTATTTTTCTCTACATGTTGATTGGAATGAAATAGACTTAACAGGCTAAAAATAATAAAAAGATAAGGTATTCAGATTGAATGTTTGAGATGGTACTAGTGTTGCTTTTGTTTTTACATTTTTCTGTAAGCTTTTCTTAGTGAACGGGCACTATTTAAAAAATCAGTTTAAAAAGGTGTTTTTCAAAATCACAGCCTCTAGAGAATTAAAATGGCATGGATTAGTATCTCTTTTTTGAGAGGGCAAGTAGAATAATTTTACAAGATTTTCATCTATAGTGAAAATTAAAATATTTATTTGCTGTTCATTGACGTATAACTGATAAACAAAACTAGACTTGTGAGAGAAGTCTATGAAGAATATTATCCGGCGTGTGTTTATTCTATAAATGCTTCATCATTTTTAGCATGAGTAAAAGCAACAGTATTTTTGATAATAACTGGAATATAGTTTAGTTGATTTGATCATCTTTGTATTAGGGATAAAATTTGCTGTATAAGTACAAATAAAAATACTTTATAAATTTTGTCTACAGTGAAGATTGGCAAATGTCTGGGTCAGGATCTCCGTCTCAGTCTGGTTCAGATTCAGAATCTGAAGAAGAGAGAGATAAAAGCAGTTGTGATGAAACAGAATCTGATTATGAGCCAAAAAACAAAGTCAAAAGCAGAAAACCTCAAAATAGGTATGGTCTCAGTTTGGTGGTGAAAATTGATTGTAAAAGGTGTTCATTCTTTGTGTATATAGTTTTTCAAATCTTGGTTTTTTTTTTTCTTCTTGTCCTTTCCTAGATCTAAGTCAAAAAATGGAAAGAAGATTCTTGGACAAAAAAAGAGACAGATTGATTCGTCTGAGGAGGAGGAGGATGAAGAAGATTATGATAATGATAAAAGAAGTTCTCGTCGCCAAGCAACTGTTAATGTTAGCTATAAGGAGGATGAAGAAATGAAAACAGATTCTGATGACCTGCTGGAAGTCTGCGGAGAGGACGTTCCTCAACCTGAGGAAGAGGAATTTGAAACCATAGAAAGATTTATGGATTGTCGGATTGGGAGAAAAGGAGGTAGTTTTTTAAAAACCATTTATTGTTTGCTTATTTAAATAATATTTACAAGAGTAAAGGACCGGACGCAGTGGGTCACCCCTATAATCCCAGCACTTTGGGAGGCCGAAACGGGTGGATCAACTGAGGTCAGAAGTTCTAGACCAGCCTGGCCAACATGACAAAGCCCCATCTCTACTAAAAATACAAAAATTAGTTGGGTGAGGTCGTGCGCACCTGTAGACCCAGCTACTTGGGAAGCTGAGGCAAGGGAATTGCTTGAACCCACGAGGCTGAGGTTGCAGTGAGCTGAGATCGCGCCACTGCACTCCAGCCTGGGTGAAAGAGCGAAACTCCATCCCTAAAAAAAAAAAGAAGATCGGGAGTAAAGTGTTAAAGATGTTTCAACAGTGTTGAAAGCTAAGCGGGTGGATTTGTTGTTGTTGTTTTACTTATGTTTTATAAAAGCATGCTTTGCTTAGCCTGAGTATCTTCTTAATAACCACCTGACCACTTTTTTTTTTTTTTTTTTTTTTTTCATCGGAATGGCTTTTTCTCTCTTTGCCTGGAGTGCAGTGGCGCAATCTTGGCTCACTGCAACCTCCACCTCCCGGGTTCATGCCATTCTCCTGCCTCAGCCTCCCGAGTAGCTGGGACTACAGGCGCCTGCCACCACGCCTGGCTAATTTTTTGTATTTTTAGTAGAGACGGCGTTTCACCGTGTTAGCCAGGATGGTCTCCATCTCTTGCCCTCATCATCCGCCACCTGCCTTGGCCTCCCAAAGTGCTGGGATTACAGGTGTGAGCCACCGCACTGGGCCTCCACCTGACCAAATTTCCTATATTGTGGATAATTATAGAATAATGCTGTGGGATCTCAGGTGGACCTCTATCTTTTTATTTTTTCTAATTTGAAAAAAGAGGGGATTATATTAGATAATTTTAAAATTCTTAGTTTTATTTATGAGCGATAGAATTTCCCATAGTTTCTATACCCCCGATACTTTAAGAGTATTATGTTTTTGTGTTCGTATTTTTGAAATTTTGAGTTGAAATATAATCCTACAACAGAATTGATTACATGGAAGGATCTTATGCTTTTGTTTTCAGCTACTGGTGCTACTACAACCATCTATGCAGTTGAAGCAGATGGTGACCCAAATGCAGGCTTTGAAAAAAACAAAGAACCAGGAGAGATTCAGTATTTAATTAAATGGAAAGGATGGTCCCATATCCACAACACTTGGGAGACAGAAGAAACCCTCAAGCAGCAGAATGTTAGAGGAATGAAAAAATTGGATAATTATAAGAAAAAAGATCAGGAAACAAAAAGATGGTGAGTATGCTGTATGTCATACTTTTTTTTAATAGTTCAAAGATTACTAAGCCTTCATGTTAATAAAGAATACATAGTAACATCAAATGATAGCCTAAAATAACTATAGACTTTATAATACAGTTGGCTGTCTTTGTCCACAGTTTTTCTATCCTTGGTTTCAACCCACCATGGATTGAAAGTATTCGGAGGGAAGAAAAAAAAACAACAATCAACAATACAAATTAAAAACAATACAATGTAACAACTATTTACACTATAAATGTAAAATTAGGTATTTTAAGAACATCTAGAGGTGATTTAAAGTATAGGGGAGGATATGTGTGGGTTATATTGCAAGTACCATGCCATTTCATGTAAGGGACTTGAGCATCCTCAGATTCTGGCATCTGTAGTGGATCCTGAACCAATCCCCTGCAGGTACTGAGGGATGATTTTATTCCATCTCAAGGTAAAACTCCTAGGGGTGTACCTATCTAAACCTGTCCGTGATAACAGTCACGTAGAGTGTCTCATACATTATAAGTTACAAATTTTTAGTTAAAAATTAATGATGCCTTATTCCTGTTAGTTTCTTTATTACTGAAACTTGGCCCACATGGTGGCAAAATGGAAGATTCTGTGCTACAAATAGTGTTGGGGTTGGGGGAGTGGCAGCTTATTTATGGGAGATTTTTAAGTCTGTTCCCGGATTAATAATTTTTCAGGTTGAAAAATGCTTCTCCAGAAGATGTGGAATATTATAATTGCCAGCAAGAACTTACAGATGATCTACATAAACAGTATCAAATAGTGGAACGTATAATTGGTTAGTGATAAATGATTCTGGTTAAAAAAACTTTATCTTTTTATGCTTGAAATAATCTGAAAAAAGTCATAAATTTGCCACTTACACATCAAATACACAGTAGCTTGCTCTCACTAAAAGAGTATTGTAAACTAGATAGCTAAATTTTACTCGTGTAGCCTTTACTAAGAATTGTGCATCTGATGATTAAATGTAAAAAAAAAAAAAATAAGTAAATGCCTGATTATCTCACAGCTCATTCCAATCAAAAGTCAGCGGCTGGTTATCCTGATTATTACTGCAAATGGCAGGGCCTTCCATACTCAGAGTGCAGCTGGGAAGATGGAGCTCTCATTTCCAAAAAGTTTCAAGCGTGCATTGATGAGTATTTTAGCAGGAACCAATCAAAAACTACTCCTTTTAAAGATTGCAAAGTGAGTATTGTCTAACATTTTAAATTATTAAAAATATATTTATGCATTATAAATATTTACAAGCCTAAATACAGCAGTTGGATCCTGATTTCAGATAGACTAAGGGAGAATATTTCTTGGTTAATTGGTCTGACAGGAAGTGAACTTGCTGCAATTGTTGTGTGTTTTTGTTTTTTAGTTTTAGTTTTATAATTTTTTATTTGAAACTTTCTCTTTTAAAAAAATTGTAAACGATGTTTTGGTCAATATATCTTCTTAAATCTTGTACTGTCTTTTATCTTGTTGAGCATCACTATGTCAGAAAGATAAGTTGGTTATGTCGATTGTTGGAAAGGATTGGGAAACTAAATAGAAAAAAGCTCTTGGAAACTAGAGATATGCTCAATATTAAAGATAGTGGATATTTTCTTAGAAGGTAGAGAAAGAGGAGAGGGATATAGGAAAGTATCCAGAACTACCTTGCACAATACTTTCTGAGTCCTTGTAACTTACCCAAAGTTACTAGTGATAGTGTTGAGATCTGTATAGTACTAGACTTTCTTTCCTTATTAAAAGAATTACATTCTTCATAGGGATAACTTGGAATTCAGAAATTGAATGGTAAGCTAAGCCAGTTTTATGGTTTATTTGTAGCTTAAGGCTGGAGCAATGATTGTGAACAATTTAACATAGGTTTTGCATGTGATATACATGAGACTCATATTTTGGCAGGAACTTAATTTTCTCTATAAATTTTTGTTTAAAAAAGAAGGCAAAATATTTCACTTTTCATTTTTGTTAGAATAGTAGAAAACAGTATTGACTGAATCCTCAGATACATTTTGAGTAATGGAATCTCTGAGCTTGATGATGAGAGATGAAATTTAAGAATTTATGGTAAAGCTGAGGCTTTCATCTTTTAGTATAATTTCTTATATTTAATAATTCTACATAATTTTATTTCTGCTGAAGGTATTAAAACAAAGGCCAAGATTTGTAGCCCTGAAGAAGCAGCCATCCTATATTGGAGGACATGAGGGCTTAGAATTAAGAGATTATCAACTGAATGGTTTAAATTGGCTTGCTCATTCTTGGTGCAAGTAAGTGTGTTTTGAATCATCTATTTAATTTGACAGAGTAAGAATTTTACCAATACAGAATTCAGAAAAAATTTCCATTTACATAAAGGATAAGACTTTGGCAGTTGATATGCTACTCTTTGTATTTCCTAGTTTATATAAACAATATTTATTGCATACTAGGAAGAAAATCCAGTGGAGTTTGAGTTTAACTTGATTGTTGCCTTTTTAAAATACATTTTTATTCTGTTTAAAAATCAAAATGCATATCCATTCTCATCCCATGCTGTTCCTGGAATATTCTCTTTTTTCCTAGTTATTTTAATATCCATTTAGTCTTCTACATTTTTTTTCTGTCCTCTGTGGCCCCCAGTCTACTTTTTGACTCTCCGTTGCAATTTAGCTGTAGGTTTTTTCTTTTAATCTATGTTCTTCCTATATGCTTTTTACTTATTTAATACTTAATATATCTGGACTCTACTAGTAGTAGATGAATTGCATTATTGTCTTTATAATTGATTAAACATAATACTATTAACCTTTAAGCCTCTTCTGGCCTAAAGTGGTCATCTCCTTTTACTTTTCTTACAACATTAGTGATTGAGTACCCAAATACCTTTACATTTATTATTTGTAGTTAATAAAAGTGATATATTCTATATAATACCTATCAGATTAATTTTATTTAACTTCATATAAACATATACACATGATGTAAAAAGGTTTCTTTGTATATTTGAATATTTTCTTCCATGCTAATTTTTTTTTAACTTTGTAGAGGAAATAGTTGCATACTCGCTGATGAAATGGGCCTTGGAAAAACAATACAGACGATCTCATTTCTGAATTATTTGTTTCATGAACATCAATTATATGGACCTTTTCTATTGGTAGTACCGCTCTCCACTCTTACTTCCTGGCAAAGGGAAATTCAGACATGGGCTTCTCAAATGAATGCTGTGGTTTATTTAGGTGACATTAACAGCAGAAACATGGTAAGTTGTTTCCCTGTAAATGTAGAAATAAAAATGTACTTGTCTTTGGGATTGAGCGTTGTTGTTGTTGTTGTTGTTGTTTTGAGATGGGGTTTCACTCTGTCTCCCAGGCTGGAGTGCAGTGGTATGATCTTGGCTCATTGCAGCTGGGACCACAGGAGCACACCACCACACTCAGCTAATTTTTTTATATTTTTTAGTGGAGACAGGGTTTTGCTGTGTTGCCCAGTCTGGTCTTGAACTCCTGAGCTCAAGTGATCTGCCTCCGTTGGCCTCCCAAAGTGCTGGAATCACAGGCATGAGCCACCGTTCTTGGCCTAACAAGGATGAAGGGTTTTGTTTTGTTTTGGTCTTTATAAAAATCTTTGTTTCTGGCATAGAACTTGCCACAAATAAGTTCTCAGTACATGTTTAATTGACTATAACAAAGTCAATTTTGGTTTAGTGTTACTTCATATATATATTTGACTGGTTTTGTGTGTGGGTTTTTTTTTTTCTCTTTTTTTTTTCTTTTCACTTTGTCATCCAGGCTGCAGTACAGTGGTGCAATCTCAGCTCATTGCAATCTCTGCCTCCCAGGTTCAAGTGATACTCCTACCTCAGCCTTCCAAGTAGCTGGCATTACAAGTGCCTGCCACCACGCCCGGCTAATTTTTGTATTTTTAGTAGAGATGGGGTTTCACTATGTTGCCCAGGCTGGTCTCAGACTCCTGACCTCAAGTGATCCACCCACCTTTTCACTATGTTGCCCAGGCTGGTCTCAGACTCCTAACTCAAGTGATCCACCCACCTTGGCCTCCCAAAGTGCTGGGATTTACAGGCATGAGCCACCACGCCCCCGTATTTTACATTTTTAATGGAAAATTTCAAATATACATAAGAGCAGGCAGAAGAATGTAATAAACCCTCATGTTCTCATCTTCAGTTTCACAAATTTACTGATAGTTTTGTTTTATCTATACCTCTTAACACTACTTTCCTAGTTACTGTGAAGCAAACCCCAGACATCATATTTCCTCCATAAACATTATATTATTAAATGAATTAATCACTAATGTTTTCTTAAATAAGACCTTTTTTTTTGTGAAAGATGTGCCTTAAAATTGTGTTTACTTCATTTTTTAACAAATGCTGTGGTATTTATGCTTTATTTATAAGATTTACATAGCATTTTGGACTGTATAAAGAATAACTCAGGCCAGGCGCGCTGGCTCATGCCTGTAATCCCAGCACTTTGGGAGGCCAAGGTGGGTGGATCATCTGAGGTCGGGAATTCGAGACCAGCCTGACCAACATGGAGAAACCCCGCCTCTACTAAAAATACAAAATTAGCTGGGTGTGGTGGTGCATTCCTGTAATTGTAGCTACTCGGGAGGCTGAGGCAGTAGAATCGCTTGAACCCGGGAGGCAGAGATTGTGGTGAGCCAAGATCATGCCATTGCACTCCAGCCTGGGCAACAAGAGCAAAACTCTGTCTCAAAAAAACCACAAAAACTCTTTTATTAGATAAACATATATTAATAGTCATTTACATATTTGAATGAATTTTTATTTTTAGATATGTAAGTAAAAGTATAATTTGCTTGATGTTTGTCTTAAAATTGTCCTTCAAATTTCTTGATAGATAAGAACTCATGAATGGACACATCATCAGACCAAACGGTTAAAATTTAATATACTGTTAACAACTTATGAAATTTTATTAAAGGATAAGGTATGTATTTATTTCTCTCGTGTTTTTGTCTCTTGTATATCAGTTTTTTCTTTATCATATGCTGTGGCCAAGATGAGAGAATAGCCTAAATCGTGAGTCAGCAAACTATAGCCTGTGGTCTTATTTTTTTAATGGTGCTTGAACTAAGGGTGGTTTTTACCTTTTCGAAAGGTTACATTTAAAGGGTCGTAGAAAGAATATGTAACAGAGACCATATACTTATCTGCAAAGTCTGAAATATTTACTATCTGGCTCTTTTTAGAAAAACCTTGCCAACTCAGTCTAATGAAACTAGTTTGTTATAGTGTGTATTGACTTGTAAGCTCTTTAAAGAAGAGGAAGATAACTAATAGGATTAAGCTGCCACTGTGTGAAGCAATGAAGGCTTTATGGATACTGCCTTACTTAATTCCTCCATCTACTTTATATTCGCTTTCTCTACTTTATGGAAAAGAAAACGGGACTCAAGAATGTCTCAAAGAATGTAATGAACTTGCCTATGGTAACACAACTCTTAAGTAGTGGAATCAGGCTTGCTGTAACTTGGAGACCTAAGTTTAAGAGAGTTCTACAGTTCATGAAAGTTGTACAAAGAATTGTACCTACACTTGGAATAAGACACTGTTCTGAATTTGTGTCTTAGTTTTTTTTCATATTGACATTAATAGAGGCTTCTATTGGGCTTAGGCTAAAAATCTTTTGTAAAAATTTTCAATGACACTGCTGATTTTTCTCTGTTAATTATCAGTTTATAAGCTAATAAAAACTTTAGCTTGATATTACGTTCTAGTGGTTAAATTTGTCATAGAAGGAATATGTGCTGAGTTACTTGTGTATTGTAATCTTGAAATTACAATTTTTTTACTTGAAAATTAGATAAGCGTGTTTTTAATTTTTGTTTCATTTTAATAATAGAGTTCAGATATAATGGTAAGGCTAAATCTGATTTCCATTTTTCTCTCAAAATATTGTTTTTCTATTTTAAGGCGTTCCTTGGAGGTCTAAATTGGGCATTTATAGGTGTTGATGAAGCACACCGATTAAAGAATGATGACTCCCTTCTGTATAAAACTTTAATAGATTTTAAATCCAATCATCGTCTCCTTATCACTGGAACTCCTCTACAGAATTCCCTCAAAGAGCTCTGGTCTTTGCTACATTTCATTATGCCAGAAAAGTAAGACAAATTTACAATTTTAATCATAGTTTTGTGTGGTTATGTTTAGTGGGAAGAAACCCAGGTAATAAGGTCAGGAAGAGTTTTTATTGCCTTAAAAGATTAGATCACAGATTACTAAGAATTTTTTAAAAAGGAAAATGAGGTCAGGTAGTTTGTAATACCATTTCAATTTTTCAATTTTGTTAGTAAACTTAAGCCGTGTGTTATAAATCACAACAGTTGATTTTGCACATGTTCAAAATATACCTTGCTTGAAAAACTAACATAGTAACATTCTTTGTATTTAATAGTAGGAGTAACAACAATGAGGTGCTGGCAATCCTTTTTTCTAAATGAGGAAAACTAGACTAGACAAGGCTAAATAAGTTCCCTAAGGTCATTACTTGTTCTTTTTCAGTAGGTCCAGAACTTTAAAAGTATTTTTTTTGAGAAATATTTTAGTGATAATTACTCCCATACCTCAAAATACTTCATATTCACTTGATTCAAGAATCATAACTTATAAAACAACTAATTATATTTCATCATGCATCTTCTTGGGAGGGAAATTTTTAGAAGTAACTAAGTTTTGTTTTGTTTTTTGTTTTTTTTGAGACGGAGTCTCACTCTGTCGCCCAGGCTGGAGTGCGGTGGCGCGATCTTGGCTCACTGCAAGCTTGCAAGCTCTGCCTCCTGGGTTCACACCATTCTCCTGCCTCAGTCTCCAGAGTAGCTGGAACTGAAGACGCCCGCCACCACGCCTGGCTGATTTTTTTGTATTTTTAGTAGAGACGGGGTTTCACCATGTTAGCCAGGATGATCTCGATCTCCTGACCTCGTGATCCGCCCATCTCGGCCTCCCAGAGTGCTGGGATTACAGGCATGAGCCACCGTGCCCCGCCAGTAACTAAGTTTTTAGCTAATTTTTTATTCTAAAAGTCTGTAGTATTTTGTTTATAAATGACTCCCCTTAAAAAAAAAAAAAAAACACTCATATGCAGTTTGACTTTTTCTAGTGATTGTTCCAATTTCTTAAATTTTAAAGGTTTTCTTCCTGGGAAGATTTTGAAGAAGAACATGGCAAAGGGAGAGAATATGGTTATGCAAGCCTTCACAAGGAGCTTGAGCCGTTTCTGTTACGCCGAGTTAAGAAAGATGTGGAAAAATCTCTTCCTGCCAAGGTTGAGCAGATTTTAAGAATGGAAATGAGTGCTTTACAGAAACAATATTACAAGTAAGCTGTACACAGAGCACATGTTCTGAACTTTTAATTCTGAATAACTTCCATGTCTGTGTCCTGCTCTTGGTGCCCCCACCTTCTCTACAATAGTATTGTAGAGCAGTTGCAATTCTTGAGTTTTAGAATAAGTTTATTCTGTGTCGTTAGGAGGCAAAAGGAGATTTAATGACATGTCCAAAATGATGAGTAACAAGACTAATTTATCTTCTAACACATCATTAATTGCTTTCCTGTATATCATACTGTTACATTATAAAAAGTTTAAGTGTTAGGATTTCCACGATATGAAGGTTATTATTTGATTATGACAGTTAACAGATAGAGGCCAAAAAAAGAAACTTAGAACAAAATTTTAGGCCCTGCTGCTTTTTGAAGAGTATTAACAGATCATAGCTGGTATAAATTTTGTATGTCAAGATCTATACAGTAGGACTTTTCAAAGAGTCAGAAAGGAAAATCTATTCTAATATCTATTTAAACATTTAATTGCATAAAAGGAAATATATTGCTACATGCATTTGGAGTTTCAGAAACATTTATATTTTATGGTAAATCTATAGGTGCCACACATTTGAAAGAATATACTTATTGCATAATTATTTTTGTTATGGAAAATTTCAGACATGTACAAAAATAGGATAATTTAATGAACTCTTATACCCATGACTCAGCTTTACTTTTTTTGTTTGTTTGTTTTTTTGAGATGGAGTCTCCCTCTGTACTCTAGGCTGGAGTACAGTGGCACGATCTTGGCTCACTGCAACCTCCGCCTTCCGGTTTCAAATGATTCTGGTGCCTCAGCCTCCCGAGCGGCTGGGTTTACAGGTGTACCCCACAATGCCCTGCTAATTTTTTTATTTTTAGTAGAGACAGGGTTTTGTCATGTTGGCCAGGCTGGTCCTGAACTCCTGACCTCAAGCGATCCACCCACCTCAGCCTTCCAAAGTGCTGGGATTATAGGTGTGAGCTTCTGTGCCCAGCCCCAGCTTCACTTTCCTCTCAAGCCAGTCTTTTTATGTATCTCTGATCATCCCCATTTCCCTCAGTAACTATCCTTTTGAAGCAGATCAGACATTTTTCCATAAATATTTTTCTGTGTATTTCTAATAATTGATTTTTAAAAATACTAGTATCACCTGGGCACGGTGGCTCATGCCTGTAATCCCAGCACTTTGGAGAGGCTGAGGGGGGACAGATCACTTGAGCCTCAAGAGTTTGAGACCAGCCAGGGCAACATGGCAAAACCCTGTCTCTACCCAAGATACAAAAAAATTAGCCAGGAGTGGTCGTGGGTGCATGTGGTCCCAGCTACTTAGGAGGCTGAGGTGGGAGGATCGCTTGAAGCCCATGAGGCAGAGGTTGCAGTGAACCGAGGTCATGCCACTGCACTCCAGCCTGGGTGACAGTGAGACTCCATCATAAATAACCCACTTTAAAATTTTCACAGTTTAGGAAATTATTGCTCTCTCAACAGAATCAAGTAATTTCTTGATGCCAGTATTCAGTATCTGTTCAGATTTTCTCTGTCTCAAAAAATTTTTTTACGTTTACTCAAATCAGGATTGAGATAGGTTCATATATGGCAATTGATTTGTCTCGGAATTTATCCATAGGTACTTCTTTTTTGTTAAAATGTATACAATGAGGAAAACAGTTGTTCTGTAGAATTTTTCTACAATCTAGATTTTGCATAGTACTTCCCTCTAAAATAGTTTAACAGTATCCCCTGTATTCCCTATAGATCGGTAGTTAGATCTAGGTGCTTGATAATATTCAAATTAATAATTATGATAAGAGTATATTTTGTAGTACACAATGGCGATTATCTGATTTTGTTATGGGGTTCTTTTAAAAAAAAGTAATGCATTTTGTAGAATAACTGGAAAGAAAAGTCAAAGTAGGAAGAAGATACATTCACCTGTAATTCTCTCAGTGCTAGTCATATATCATGAATGTTGAACTTAAACTCTTCAGGGTACTTTTTGGCAACTAAGGTAATAAGATACTGCCATAAATTTCTGGAAAAATTATTAGAATTATTACCTCTAGAGAAATTAATAATAAACTTTTTCTGGATAAGGAAAAATAATTCTTTATTCTTGATTACCTCTTACGGCATTGAGCATTGTCCATGGGTTTTGTTTTGCTTTTCATTCCAGTTTTGGGGAACTGCCTGTGTAACTAGTGGTAAAGAATGGTAATAAAAGAGTATGTACACTAGATATTTGAGACTTTGAAGTCCCTTCAAAAACTGACCTTGTTAAAAGGAAGAAAATAAAAGGTGGAAAAGGTCGTGGTGAGAGGAAATTTTTCTTTTTTTTTTAAAGTTCAGCTTTTGTTTTAGATGCTGGAGGTATATGTGCAGGTTTGTTACATGGGTAATATTGCATCCAGGTAGTGAGCATGGTTATGCAGTAGGTAGTTTTCAACCCATGTTCCCCTCATTCCCCCCTCTAGTAGTCCACAGTGTTACATGTTTATGTCCGTGTGTGCGCAGTGTGTAACTTGCACTTATAAGTGAGAACATGCGATGTTTGGTTTTCTGTTTCTGTGTTAATTCACTTAGAATTATGGTCTACAACTATATCCATGGACATTATTTTATTTGAAGGACATCATTTCATCCTTTTTTTCCTGTGGCTGTGTAGTATTCATGGTGTATATACACAAAAAATATGGAGTGTTCGTGGATTTGCATGTCATCCTTGTACAGGGACCATGCTAATCTCTGTATCGGTCCAGTTTTAGTATAAGTGCTGCCGAAGTGAGCACAGGAATTGTTACATATAGTTAGGAGCAGTAAAATAGCACCAAGGTGTTTTCTGTAAGTTGCATATGTATTGTGTAATTGCAATCTAGAGAAGACAGTTGTGGCTAAAACCAGGTATCCTCAGGTTTCTTTTAGGTCCATGTAGAAGATTCAATTTCATTAGATGTCTAATGCAGTGAAAGTTGTAAGAAGATTAAGTAATGCAGGCGACCATCTTTTTAGCAAATTTGAGGGGAAATGGATTAATGCTCTGTAATAATTATGTTACGTTAGCCCGTTCTGTGTGTAGCTAATGGTTCGGAAAACAAGTTGTGTTCTCGTGAGTATTATGAAAGAGGTTTGGTCCATCGTATATCCAGTTGTGAATTTCATAATGGTACAGTTTTACTTTGGTACTACCTTTTGCCTTTTTTTTTTTTTTTTTAAATGCTTTTAGAATTTATCCTGGTAATTGTTCTGCTAAATGTCATTTTCATAATTTTTTTTTTTTTTAAGATGGATTTTAACTAGGAATTACAAAGCCCTCAGCAAAGGTTCCAAGGGCAGTACCTCAGGCTTTTTGAACATTATGATGGAGCTAAAGAAATGTTGTAACCATTGCTACCTCATTAAACCACCAGATAATAATGAATTCTATAATAAACAGGAGGCCTTACAAGTAAGAATTTTTAAATGTTGTTACTTTATGATAAAGTTCTAGAAATGTTGATTTCACTTACAATCGAAAATAGCTCAGTACTTTAATATATTGGTTAAAAGTTCTCTTTAGTTAATGGTGCCTTTATATAATGGTCTCAGCTATTAATCTTTGTAGAAAAGATTTTAAAATTCTAATTTATCTAATTATTTTGATGAATTTTCTAAAAATATGTCTCTCAAACCGTGGACTATAATGATTTATCCAGCAAAAAAATCCCACAGTATGTTCATAATTATGAAAAAAATCATTAATAGTAATTGTGCTGCATTAGTGATTTGGTAGATGGTAGTCTAAAGGACATCTTGACCTCACATCTTAACCCTTCCTGGTACTTCTGGAAGATAAGTTAGAAGTGTGAAGGCACAACTGCAGTCCAGCCACTGTAGTGCCTTGAAGGGCTGGGATCAGCATCTAGAATTAATACATTAGAATGCATTTGCTTACTCCTTTTAAACCTTTGGTTGCTTAGTTGCTGCTGCTTCCAATGTAATTGTTCTTCAGCTAAGATTTTTGGAGAAACACTGTGGTGTAAGTAACTAGCAAACAGAGTGAACAGTACTTTTTTCCTCCCTGACAATACAACAAAAACCTAGGTGTGATATGGCAAGGAATATTTTAGCTTAAGTCATAGTGAAATGGTAAAGGTCTTAGAAAATTTTGAAAAGTGTAACAAGTTGTTTTCTAACATGAAAATTAAAAATCTCAATTTAAAAGAATTCAAGCAACTAAAGTGTTATGTGGACAGCTTATTTACATCTTTTAACATATAATGACTTGAATTTATTGTTTCTGTAGCACTTAATTCGTAGTAGCGGAAAATTGATTCTTCTTGACAAGCTATTAATTCGCCTAAGAGAACGAGGCAATCGAGTTCTTATTTTTTCGCAAATGGTGCGGATGTTAGATATACTTGCAGAATATTTGAAATATCGTCAATTCCCCTTTCAAGTAAGCATTTAATTGTATTTGTTGTTTTAAATTTTATCTAATTCCTGTGCATATTTTACAGTATTACCTTTGAAATTATTTTATAAGTGTTTAGGTTTTTATATAAACTGCACTCTTTCTTTAAAAAGATATATCTGCTTTAAAAAATGTTTGTCATTCCGTTTTTTCTTCTTGACTTTACATATTGCAACAAAACAATTTTTCTTTCCTCTAATTTTTATTTTCTTTTAATTCTGCCTTTTTCTTCTGTGCTTGCTTTAGATTTTAAAAATTGAACTAAGACAGAGTTTTCTTGATTGGATAGATTTAAAAGCAGGGGAGCCTTTAGTCTTTAATCTGAATGAGGAAAACAGCCAGCAGCCTCTGAATGTGAATGCTGCCAAGATTCTGACGATTGGTGTGCTCATAGTTACCTGACACAGTGTTCACTGGGTAAAACTGGACAACTTTAGAGAAGAAACTAAAGACCAAAATTCCCTTCCATCTATTCAAAATTTATGTTGAAGTTCATTCAGTATAACTAAAGCTAATATTATTGATGAGTGTTTAAAGTCAGGTGCTATTTTCAGTACTTTACATCCAATTATTTAATCCTTGAAGCAATTTTATGAACAGTGCTAGGAACATAGCAGACATTATGTAGATACAGCTAACAAATGGTGTATATTTAGTGCAGATAGTAAAATAGCAGTAAAATTATAATAATGGGACTCAACACACATTCCCTGCTTTGTCAGAGCTTATAATCTTTTACAGGAGACAGACATCAAGCAGGTGATTGCAAATAAATGTAACATTACAATTCTGGTAAGTGTTGTGAAGAAGGACAGGTATTTGGTGATATGAATATCATTGAGAAATAATTACAATCATTTAGGGGAAAACGTAGAAGAGTACCATTAGTTGAGGGTTTTGAAAACACTTTTACTGATATGTAATTCCCTTATCATACAATTTACTCTTTTAAAGTATACAATTCAGTGGTTTTTACTATGTTCACAGATATGTGTAATTGTCAGATAGGTGGTTTTAGAACATTTTCATCGGAAAGCAACTTGTACCCTTTAGCTATTCCTCCTGTCCTTCCATTTGCTTTCTTCTCCTGCCTTGTGTTGATTTGTTTTTGAACAAATTATTGTGTACCTGGTCAAACTAATTTTTTGTTTGAGTGTTTATAAGCACCACTTCTCTGCCGCTAATGCCTTCTTGTTCCTAGGTCGCTTCCTGGAGAGAATCATTTTTAATTTTATTTGGTTTAGGTCATGCCACAGTAATGAGATGCCACTATTCTTAATATTTATACTAGTTTGTATTTTAGTGGAAAAGAAACATTATTTTAATTTTTTAAAACCTTAATAGACATCTGTTTTCCTACTTTGTGTAGGTGATAATTAAGAGCATTTCACTTAAAGCACTTAGAATACATCATTTAAAATGTATATATTTTTCTTCTGAGAGTTAAAATTCATACAGTAACAAAGCAAAGGTAGGCATATGGCTTCCCAAAATACTAGTTTAATACATCGGTTAAATGCGTGGATCACAGTAGACAAGTTATTTCTAGTCTATAACCAGGTAATAATTACAAAATCATTGCCATTTATAAAGTGAAGTAATAGCTAATGTTTAATAAGCATTCAGTATGTGTAGGCACTGTGCTACGTGTTTTCCTATGTTCTCTCACTGAGTTCTCTATAGTCTACGAAAGAGGGACTACTATTATGTCTGTTTTACTTAAAGCAGAACTGACATGGAGAAAAAGTTTGTGTAGAAAAGTCAAATCACTTGCTCAAGATACCCAGTGAATAAAATACTCATTTGCAGGATGTTGACTAGAGCCCATGATGCTTCACATCAGTAATTTTCTAACTTTAGTGTGCATCAGAATTAATTGGATGGCCTTTGCTAAACCCCTTCAGTAGGTCTGGGGTAGGGCTGAATAATTTGCCTATCTATGTTCTCAAGTGACACTAATGCTGTTCTAGTAACCGCACTGTACTTAATCAGTGTTTTTAAAACTGAATTGTAACCTGTTAATGGATCTGTGAATCAGTTTAATGGGTTACACCAACATTTTGAAAGTAAAATGATAAAACATGAGAGTATAACACAGTATGTCATGGCATGATATGAAACTTGTTTCAGGTGTTTGTAAACAGCTGTGTACTCAATCACATACCTTTAGAATGGGACTGAGGCAGAATAGTATGACAACCTATGCTGTATTTACTCTTGAGGGTGCAGTCTTAGTGATTTGGAGCACAGACCAAAGACGGAATGCCTGAGCATTATTTTACCGTCTAGTAGGTACCTTCTATTATAGTTTTAGCAAGACATGCTTCATATTTCTACTTAATTTTATAATTGCTTTGTAACATTTCGATTCTGTTATATGCAGTATTTTAATGTGTTTTATTCTAGAGGTTAGATGGATCAATAAAAGGAGAACTGAGGAAACAAGCTCTGGATCATTTTAATGCTGAGGGATCAGAGGTATGTATTAATGCTTTTTAAATTATAAATAATTTTGATTTAGTATCAGTATATTACATTATTATATTCAGACATTTTTAATCTTCATATCTAGTTTTATAAAAAAGGACTAGTGTTAGCCACCTTTGATCAGCAAACGAGGTTTTAAAGTCACTATTCTAGTTTAAACCTAAGAATTGCACTCTTTGAGACAGAGTCTAGCTCTGTTGCTCAGGCTAGAGTGCAGTGGCATGATCTCAGCTCACTGCAACCTCAGCCTCTTGGGTTCAAGCTGTTCTCCTGCTTCAGCCTCACAAGTCGCTGGGATTACAGGCACCTGCCACCGTGCCTGGCTAGTTTTTGTAGTTTTAGTAGAGATGGGGCTTCACCATGTTGGCTAGGCTGGTCTTGAACTCCTGGCCTCAGGTGATTCACCTGCCTCAGCCTCCCGAAGTGCTAGGATTGCAGGTGTGAGCCACCATGCCCAGCCAAGAATTTTACCGTTTATTATCAATACTGTTTCAGCATGGAACAGTTACTTTAATTTGCTGCAACATAAATTAGCCAGATTGGGCACGGTAGCTCACACCTGTAATCCCAGCACTTTGGGAGGCCAATGCAGGAGAATCGCTTCAGGCCAGGAGTTTGAGACCACCCTGGGAAACAGTGAGACTGCTGTCTGTACAAAAAAAAAAAAAAAAGTAAAAAAATAAACTGGGCATAGTGGCACTCCCTTATAGTCCCAGTTACTTGGGAGGCTGAGTTGAGTGGATCAGTTAGCTCAGGAGTTTGAGGCTGCGGTGAGCTTTGCTTATGCCACTAGACTCTAGCTCAGGCAATAGAGGTGAGACTCTGTCTCAAAAAAAGTAAAGACAAGACCCCAAAACAGCAAATTATCGCACTTTGCTTTAAAATTTTTTTTTTATTTCCATAGATTTTTGGGAAACGGATGATATTTGGTTAAATGAGTAAGTTCTATAGTGGTGGTTTGTGAGATTTTGGTGCACCCTTCACCAGTATACACTGAACCAAATTTGTAGTCTTTTATCGCTCACCCCCTCCTACCCTTTCCCTCTGAGTCCCCAAAGTCCTTTGTATCATTTCTTATTACTTTGCATCCTCATAGCTTAGTTCCCTCTTATGAGTAAGAACATACAATGTTTGGTTTTCCATTCCTGAGTTACTTCACTCAGAATAGTAGTCTCCAGGCTGGGCGTGGTGGGTTACACTTGTAATCCCAGCACTTTGGGAGGCTGAAGCAGGTTGATCACTTGCGGTCAGGAGTTCAAGGCCAGGCTGGCCAACATGGTGAAACCCCCATCTCTACTAAAAATACAAAAATTAGCTGGGTGTGGTAGTGCATACCTGTAATCCCAGCTACTTGGGAGGCTGAGGCAGGAGAATTGCTTGAACCTGGGAGGCGGAGGTTACAGTGAGGCCAAATAAAAAGAGTGAGACTCCATCTCAAAAAAAAAAAAAAAAAAAAAAAAAAACGAATATAGTCTCCAGTCCCATCCAGGTTGCTGCGAATGCCATTATTTCATTCCTCTTTATGTCTGAGTAGTATTCCATTGTATATGTATACCACAGTTTATCTTCTTGTTGATTGATGGGCATTTGGGCTGGTTGCACATTGTTGCAATTGCAAATTGTGCTGCTATCATCATGTATATACAAGTATCTTTTTCATGTAATGACTTCTTTCCTCTGGGCAGATACTCAGTAGTGGGATTACTGGATCAAATGGTAGTTCTACTTTTAGTTCCTTTAAGGAATTTCCACACTATTTTCCATAGAGTTCTTTTTTTTTGGTATGTGCCTTTTATTTTTTAAGGAAATAAAATTTACAGTTTGAGTTGAAGCATCATTCCTTTCCTATTCCATTTTCTTTTTTTTTTTTTTCCAACAGAAGTAAACACTATATTGAATTTGGTATTAATAACGTATATATTTGATTTTGGAGTCTTTTTGTTGGTTGGTCTTGCTAGATGTCTATGTATTAGTTTTAAAAACTGCCTTTTTGTTTAATTAGTAACATGCTGTTTAAGTTCAGAAAATTAATTGAAAAATTTTCATTTTGATTATTCAATTTCTTACAGGATTTTTGCTTTTTGCTGTCTACAAGAGCTGGAGGTCTAGGGATTAATTTAGCCTCTGCCGACACTGTTGTTATATTTGATTCCGATTGGAATCCACAGAATGATCTTCAGGCACAGGCTAGAGCCCATCGAATTGGGCAAAAGAAACAGGTATTTTTAATTTTAATTTGTATTATGTTGCTGTTTTAGAATTCTTTTTGGGGAGGAATGGTTTCAGTGTATCTTCTAGAGGGTAAGATCACTGCAGCAGTCATACTACTATTTAACAGATAGGATGCTAAGGAACTTGGTTTACCAAAATCACCTGGAGAATATGACAGAATTGAGATAACTATGCATAAATAGGATCATGTATGCTGTTTATATCCTGTGTTCTAGTCATAACTATAAAATGCAGTGTTTTTCAATTATAATAAAGTCTCCTTGCTTGTTTTAACTGGAAAGAGTTTGAGTAGCATGTGCTGCCTTTCTGTTAGTGTATATTTTGTCCATGTGCTTCCAAGATTCTCCACATATAATATGTGACCCCATTTTTATAATTGTAACAAAATACCCTTAAATGGTGGTACTGAACCTTTACCTAGAGAAATAGGGAAAATTTACTACACCAATTTTTTTTCAATTTTGGAGAGTTTGTTTTATGGTGGGCTGCTTATTAATTAACTTGAGGAGTGGTTCATAGAATTTTGCATTATATAGAGTGACGAAACATTAGAATCAAGGCAGCGAGTATAATAAGGCTGTCAGAAGTTTATGTGCTCCCCCCCATTTTCCCCCGCTAAATCATAACTTACAAATTACTGTCTTTCCTTTAAAAAAAAAAGCAAAAATAAGCAAATGCAATCTCCTTGCCAAAATGTTAAGAAGGAAGGAAGGATATATTTCAAAAGAGTTTAAGTTGAGGAACTCTAGCTTTAAACATGTTTTTTAAATTTTCGTTTTGCTTTTAACCCGTGAAAACTTCATGTAGTGTAGAATGAGCTTCAATTTGTGTGCCAATGTTTAGGCACTTGAAGTTAGCAAAACAAATCCTTTATGCTGCAATTTGTTTCCTCGTGTGTGTTTCTACAGGTGAATATTTATCGTCTAGTTACAAAGGGATCAGTTGAAGAAGATATTCTTGAAAGGGCCAAAAAGAAGATGGTTTTAGATCATCTTGTAATTCAAAGAATGGACACAACTGGGAAGACAGTACTACATACAGGTTCTGCCCCATCAAGGTGGTTACTTTATGATTTAAAAAATGTCATTTTAGAATCAGGAAACTCATTTTTTGGATATGTTACATCACTATAGATCATTGAGGAAATGTATTCAGTGTTGTACTTTTTATATTTTGGAAGACTTTTGACTAATTTCTAGTTAGAAGACATACTTCACTACCTGGTTTCATCGCTATAGATTTGTAATTTTAGGGGTAATCTCTTTAACTTCTGTGCTTCATGTTCCTTATTTTAAAGTAAATATACTGCCCTAGACAGCATGGTGAAACCCCACCTCTACAAAAAATAAAAAACTTAGCTGGGCATGGTGACACACGACTGTAGTCCCAGCTACTCAGGAGGCTGAGGCAGAAGGATCAGTTGAGCTTGGTAGGCGGAGGTTGCAATGAGCTAAGATTGTGCCAGTGTACTTCAGCCTGGGTGACAGAGTGAGACACTGTCTCAAAAAAAAAAAAAAAAAAAAAAAAAGGATACTAATACTTGATTCATCTAACTTCCTCATGTAACTTTTGTAAAGGTGAAAATGTCAGTAATTAGTAAAAGTGCTCTGTAAATATTTTTAACTGTTAATGTTAAGCATTTTTGTTTTTCCTCTTTTAGTTCTACTCCTTTCAATAAAGAAGAGTTATCAGCCATTTTAAAGTTTGGTGCTGAGGAACTTTTTAAGGAACCTGAAGGAGAAGAACAAGAGCCCCAGGTAAAAAAAAAAAAAAAAAAAAAAACCTGCTTCAGAATATGTGTCATCTGTTTGGTAGGATGAAAGGATTCAAGTATATTTAAATATTGTTTTTCTAATTATAGGAAATGGATATAGATGAAATCTTGAAGAGAGCTGAAACTCATGAAAATGAACCAGGTCCTTTAACTGTAGGAGACGAATTGCTTTCCCAGTTCAAGGTAGATTTAAACAAAATTTTCCTTGTAATTACATTAAATTGAGAGGAATTGAATTATTGTCATTTAGTAGTTTGTTAATCTTTAAGCATAATCAGGAAGATTGCTATGTTGTATAAAAACTACTCTCCCTTGTTCAGACAAACCAGTAGCAAACTGATTTGAAAGAGACCAGATCCATTTATGAAGTTACATGTTGGGTGGAAAGAGCTGTTGTTTGCTAATTAGTAACTAGAATAGTGCTTGGCAAATAGCATGTCCTTAAATACTTGGGTAAATAAATGAATCAATGTGATCTCTTACTTAGATTTCCATGACTGAAAGCTTTCGGCTGATTTTTTTTGAAGCAGTTTTTGACATTAACTTATCACAAATAAGAAAACTCAAGTAAATCAGTCAAAGTAAACAATAAGCTACTATATATTGATACTTAATATCCCTGGTTTTTTGAGGGCCAGTGAGTTGAAAGGAGTTCTAAAACAACATAAGTCAACTGACCTCATGGAGTAAGTTAAGTGCCATTTGTTTAAAGAAACAGGCTTCTCTACATCTTAGCTATTTTCTATGAACTGCAGTTTTTAAGGGTCAGTTCATTTCATGTGTTCATTTGACAAGTATTTATAGAACATCTGCAGTGTACCCCACACAGTGAATAAAAAACTTTTGTAATTTTAAAATCACTCTGGCTGCTATGTGGATGATTGACTGTAGTGAGACAAGAGCTATAGCAGGGAGATAAGATAGAAGACTGTTGAGTAATCCTGGTTAAGAGGTGGTTTCTGGGATTACAGGCGTGAGCCACTTCGCCCGGCTGTGATAGTTAGCCTTAATGGGTGCTTTCTGTATACCAGACCTTGCATAGTACCTTAAATGTGCTATCTTATATAATCCTCCCAGAAGGTAGTGTGCTCTCAAAGAGCTCTGTGTCTCTGCCAGTAGCTCTTTGCTGCCAGTAGCTCTTTAGATTGTGTTTTTGTGATCATAAAAATGATATTAGATTGTTCTACAATACTTGATACATGGACTGGTCTGGGAATTTTGCAGATTATTTAGCATATTAATAGTATAAATTACTTTTTTTATTGTTCTGTTAACTGCTTTTAGTTCTGAGATGCTACTAATTTTGTTGAGCAGTAGGGCAAAAGAAAATCTTTCCTAGAGGATTATTAGATGTCATTTGTTTGATCTGCTTTGCCCTAGTGAGGTAATGAATCTAGGTTGTTTAGAAGTTATTTTTGGTTTAGTCCACAGTCATATTCAGTATCCTAAGGATATTTAGGCATGTCAGTTTCTTCCCTTTAAAGAAAAAATTAGGGATCAATTTTTCTATAACAGTTACTCTTAAAATTCTGAAATTTATCAGGTTGCCAACTTCTCAAATATGGATGAGGATGACATTGAGTTGGAACCTGAAAGAAATTCAAAGAATTGGGAGGAAATTATTCCCGAAGATCAAAGAAGACGATTAGAAGAAGAAGAAAGACAAAAAGAACTTGAAGAAATTTATATGCTCCCAAGAATGAGAAATTGTGCAAAACAGGTGATTTTGCAATTTTAAAGATGTTTCTATAAAGTAGAGTATTCAACCTGGACCGATTTTGTTTGTTTCTATGAGGTATCAGTCCATAGTTTTCTTTTCTTGTAATGTCCTTGATTTGATAACGTTTGTCTCATGAAATGAGAAGTGTTTACTCCTCTTGTATTTTATTCATCTTTTCAAAGAACCAGCTCCTGGTTTCATTGATTTTTTTGTGTGTTTTTAATTTCATGAGTTTCTGCAATTTATTATTTCTTCCTTTCTGCTTTTGATTTAATTTGCTCTTTTCTTTCTTTTTTTTTTTTTTTTTTTTTTTTTTTATTTGGGACAGCATCTTGCTCTGTTGCCAAGGCTGGAGTGCAGTGGCACAATTCTGGCTCACTGCAACCTTAACCTCATGGCCTTAGATGATCCTCCCACAGATGTGTCCCACTACACCCAGCTGATTTTTGTATGCTTTCTGTAGAGATGGGGTTTTGCCACGTTGTCCAGGCTAGTCTGGAATTTCTGGGCTTCAGTGATCCATCCGCCTTGGCCTACCAAAACGTTGGGACTATAGGCGTGAGCCACTGCACCTGGCCTCTTTTATTCAGTTTCTTAAGGTGCAAGCTTAGATATAGAAATGTAATCTCTCTTTTCTAATATCGGCATTTAATGCTACAAATTTTTCTTTAAGCATTGCTTTTTCTGAATCTTCCAAATCTATTTTTATATTTTCCTTAATTTAAAAATATTTTAAAATTTCCCATGTGACTTCTCTTTGACCCATAGGTTTTTTTAGAAGTATGTTTTAAAATGTTCAGGTATTTAGGAGATTTTTCAACTATCTTTGTTAATTATTGGTAATTTAATTCTGTCATGTTCAGAAAGCATACTTTATGTAATTTTAGTTTTTAAACGTTTGGTATTTATTCAGTGGCCTAAGTAAACAAATATCAGATTTTTAAATAACTGTAATAGTGCCATGCCAAGCTATATTGCCAAAAAGGAAAAAATTCTAAGACTAATTTCTTTTTCTATTATCCTTTGGTTTTTAGGATATTATAAAATTATTTGTCTTGATTACTGAGTTTTTTGGTGTTTCCTTAAATTTTAAGCCTGGGGCAAATGAGGGGCTTGCCTCACTCTAGTCCCTGCCCTGCTACCATTCCCCCAAGGGTAGAGTTTTTTGTTTTTATATTCTTGCAACCATATTAGATCTTATTCTGTGCCCTCAATTGAGCAAATGAGAAGGGTCTAGCAAGGCTTCCTTCCTGTTTCCACAAAGGTGACTACTCACTTTCTCTAAGGCTGTACCATGGAGAAAAGTTTTGTCCAGTCTTCTACCATGCTGCTTTCTCATGATCACCTAGTGGAAGTTTGTGGCAGAGTGCCTGAGAATGGGTGCAGGTCCTCCGAGTTTTGGCTGTTAGGTCCTATGATCTCACAATAGCCTATACTCAGTCATTAGCAGATTTTAGCTGATACCGTCTTGTATGGTACTTGATTTCTGTCACCTATGCTGTTCACAAATGAGCCACTGTTTGAGTCCTATATCTTTTTGTAATCTCTTGTATTTCCTTACATTTAGATGTATAGGTTGCCCTGAAATTTCATCTCTCTGATGTTAAACAGAAGAATTAGGATCCTGTAGATCAGATTTGTTGTTAGAGTAGGAGCAGTGCCCCTACCAAGTTTCTACATAACAGCCAGAAGTGGAGCCAAAAATAATGTTTTTGGCCTAAAAGTAACCATGTATGTTATTTCTTGTTTCTGTTTATTTATTCAAACCCCTAAGTAATTTTGTTTTAGAGTGTGTGAGAATGCGGCATTACATTATGATCTTGTGAAAGGATCAAGGGAGATTAGAAAAAATAAGGTCTAAATACCATTTTTGACTTCATTTAACTTTCAGCATATTAGAGGTTCAGAATATGTGCCAAAGCTTTGGAAAAACTCCCAAGACTTACAGAATGTATGTTTTGATGTATCCCATTAAAATTAATGGATGTTACAAATAGTCTTTTATGTGGGTTCAACTGGCATTTTTTTCTTTCAAATATCTGACTTGTCTAGTTAGAATAGCAATATGTGGATATTAAGCAGAACAGAAAAAAAAGGGACAGTTAATCAATCCGTTCCCCCAGAGATAACGACTAATATTATCACAGTGTACATCATTCCAGTTTTTAAAAATTCATTATCATTTGCCAAATTAAATTGTGGAGTCGTATTAATTTGGAACTTTTTCTTCTTTTTGACAGTATGTCATGAATGTTAATTATTCTACAACCCCGTTTTTTATGGTCTCTTAGCATTCTATCATATAGATTTGTCTGGTCTCTCTTTGATGAGTATTTAGATTATTTGCTTTTTGTTTTTGAGGCAGGATCTCACTGTGTTGCTCAGGCTGAAATGCAGTGGTACAATCATGGCTCACTGCAGCCTCAACTTCCTGGGGTCAAGTGATCTCCCACCTCAGCCTCTCAAGTAGCTGGAACTGCAGGTGCTTGCTCCAAAAATGCCTCGCTAATATTTTAAATTTTTGGTAGAGACAAGGTGTCACTATGTTGCCTAAGCTGGTCTTGAACTCCTGGGCTCAAGTTATCTTCCTGCCTTGGCCTCCCAGTCATGCTGGGATTACAGGCATGAGCTGTTAAGCTCAGCCACATTTTTCTTTTATGATGTAAATAACTTTATTGATCAGTGTTTCTTCACAGTTCTGATCTCCTCAGGAAAAATGCCTAGAAGTTATGTTGCTGGGTCAGTAGAATAACTTTTGAGGCTTTTGATGTAACATTGTCTCATTACCCTTTAAGTCAAAATACCCACCAGATGTATATATTTTTCTGTTTGCTTTTTAATTTTGTTTATGGAATGTTTTTGATACTTTGAATAACATTTTTAAGATTCTGACCATCTTTTATAATGGCTTTTGCTCCTAAGATAAAAGCTGTTTTTACACTAAGGTTGGGTAAATATTTATTTTCCAATTCCAGATTAGTTTCAATGGAAGTGAAGGGAGGCGCAGTAGAAGTAGGAGATACTCTGGATCTGATAGTGATTCCATCTCAGAAGGGAAAAGGCCAAAGAAACGGGGAAGACCACGGACTATTCCTCGCGAGAATATTAAAGGATTTAGTGATGCAGAAATTAGGCGGTAAGATGATATAAGACAATCGCTTCAACTTAGTTTTAGTAGAGTGTGAAACTAAAATATAAAAATTCCATAATTTTCAAAAATTGTGATGAAGTTTTAGAAGAGGCAAATGTATGTTATTTGAGTAGGAATTGGGTGGTTCTGCTTTTGGGTATTATAACTGAACAAGTTTAGTGTCTTACCTTTGCGTGTTATTTATTTATTGCTAAACTACTTAGGCTGCAAAATTTTTTTTATTAATTTGACTCAGAATAGTGATCCTTTTGAATAATAAAAGTGTTTATGATACTTTTGGTTTTTTATTAAAATTTTTTATTAAAAATTCTCACTACGTTTAGGACTCCCAGTTACTAATATTTTGTAGAAGTTCTGTATTTTTCTAGTTTCTTAACACCAAGGTAATTTCCTTTTTGAAAATAACCCTGTTATAAAACCTTTTCTGATATGTTGAAGTAGGAATTGAGGTGAGGTAAGATTGACCATGCAGGATAAATTGTAATGTCCATTCAGAATGTTTATATATACACATTTATTTAGGGGGAATGGGATAACAGCTTACTTTTGTTTGTGTAATAGTTTTGGATGTGAAATTTATTAAAATCTTGTTCAGTTTTGTATTTTGAAAGTTTGTTTCTTACAAGCCATTGTAACTTTTTTCTTTTAAATCTTAGACCTGACAAAATTCTTCCTCATTCTTTCTACCAGAAAACTTAATACATTGTTAGCCTTTTTTAAAGGTACCGACCACCTGAATTGCTGGACTTTTCGTCTTTAGTTGAGGAAGCATTTCGACTTCTACTTTACCTGGATATTTTTCCTCATTTACTAACCACTTATGTAGCTTTCTTAAGTAAAATTTTAATTTTTCGTTGTTGTAATACCACGCATCTGAATTAAAGCCATTCAGTAAATTTTTATCAGCACTTGGAATGTGAAGAAGTGTAATATAATTAATAATTATTATGGAGACACTTCCTATGGTAGCTTCAGACCTTTTTTGGTCTTATGAAAATAATAAAGTAATTTTTAAAACAAAATTTAGCTTCTATTGTTTTATTTATACTGATATCTCTAAACATCATCCTGGGTGTTAAAATATGCCTTGTCTTACCTGCTGTATCTTAATGTTTTAACATTTTTGTTTTTAGCATAGTTGATTCATTCTTCTTAGATAACAGTGCCTTGAATTAATTTTTATACTAACAAGTACCTTCTTATATCTGTAAATATTAGAAATACCTATATTTTTAGTGAATACTGAAGCTCACATTTACCAAACAATTATTTTCTCTTAGGTTTATCAAGAGCTATAAGAAATTTGGTGGTCCTCTGGAAAGGTAAATACGTTTATTATTCTCATAGAATAATGGAATGTGTTACATGCTGTCAGCTTTGTGTTAACATTCAGTTTAGCTACTTTGTTAAATTTGCTTTTAATCGGCATTTACAAAATTAATGTACAAGACAAATTTCAGATTGATTTTAAAAATGTTTTTATACTATCTTTAATTTCTAGTCTCAAATTTCTTTCCTGTAAATGAAGTTATTTATACAATACATGTTTAAATTGCACTTTTATGACTGTAAGGCACTTTTTACAGTCTTTATCTCATTTTTCATCAATAACTTAAAAGTAGCATAAGCAGATTTATCCATAGAAGGGCTGAGTTGCTAATCCAGTCTTTTTTTTTTTTTTTTTGAATGGAGTCTCACTCTGTCTGCCAGGCTGGAGTGCAGTGGCACGATCTCGGCTCACTGCAACCTCCGCCTCCTGGTTTTATGTGATTCTCCTCCTTCAGCCTCTCAAGCAGCTAGGACTACCGGGGTGTGCCACCACATCCAGCTAATTTTTTTTTTTTTTTTTTTAAGTAGAGACTGTTTCATCATGTGGTCCAGGTTAGTCTAGAACTCCTGACCTCAGGTGATCTGCCCGCCTCAGCTTCCCAAAGGCTAGCACAGCCTTTTAACCAGCTCTGCTTTCCCTAACTAGAGATATTTTCTTAATTTTCTCGAATTCATTCTCTTATTATACAAACTGTATTGAAATTCAAATTAAGACAGTTTTTTGAAGTTATCAAATAATCTCACTAAGTATTGTGATTTGGATATTCTTTGCCCTTGGTTGTGGTCAACCCACTGTCTGCATATAGACCAGCAAAGACTCAAATGAGTTTATTTTTTATCTAAAAAATCCCTTCAAAAATAGACATATTTTCTGTTTCATTTTGAGATGGCATACTTAAAATATAACAAAATACTTGCATAATTATTTTAGATGAACAAAAGTCTTAAATATTAATCATTCATATTATTTGGTGCAGAGGAATAAAAAGTTACGGAACTTTACTCAGCTTTTTTGTTTATAATTATAAAAGTTCACCACTTCATTTTGAACATCTTAAAATTTGATCAGTTATTAAAAGCTTTTATAGAATTGGTATGTAATCTTCCATTTGCTCTCTAATTAAGTAAACTTATTATTGAAGATATAAATGAATTGTTTCTCTGCCACATTGTCCTGGTTTTCATGTGCTTCCTGCCATTTATATGAACAAGAATATATAGAGCATGCAGTAGAGTAGCATTTAGATCTTGAAATAGAGTGAAACTTAGTTTCTTCAATGGCACCACTTCATTTAACATATTTACCTGAAAATTGGATTATTTTGTTACAGATTAGATGCAATTGCTCGAGATGCTGAATTAGTTGATAAGTCGGAAACAGACCTTAGACGACTGGGAGAATTGGTACATAATGGTTGCATTAAAGCTTTAAAGGATAGTTCTTCAGGAACAGAACGAACAGGTAACATTAAAATGAGAGTGATTTAAAAGAGAAGTAAATGAAAGTTTCAAAACATGCTTTGTTGAGCTAGATATTATATCTTAAATTATCTATTCATCAGTCTCAAAAGATTATTTATGAAACAAAGTAAAGCCATTCTGGGTAATAGGAAATGGAGAACAGAATGGCAATTTGAAGGCAGTAGAATCTGTTTTTAATTCCGCTGACATTTTCTGTCTGAGAGGTAAGGTCAGAAATTACTGTTTTATGTCAGTTATATATATGTGTGTGTGTGTGTGTGTGTATACATACATGTATATGTATACATACACGTATATACACATATATACATTCATAGCTATATGTGTATATACACACACAATACAATATGTATAGTGTCTATAGGGTTTTTTATTATAGATGACTGGGAAAATATAATGCAAATATACATATATGATATTGGTTTGGTACATAATTATTTTATTATTATGCTTATTTTACAGTTCATTTACCTGAATAAAAATATTTACATAAGATTTAATAAGCAGGCCAGTCATAGTGGCTCATACCTGTAATCCCAGCACTTGGGGAGGCTGAGATGGGGGTTTAGCTTGAACCCAGGAGTTTGAGACCAGCCTGGGCAACATAATGAGACCCCGTGTCTAAGAAAAATGAAAAAATAAAAATTAGCAGGGTGTGATTGTGCATGCTTGTATTCTCAGTTACTTGTGAATTGAGGGTTGCTTTAGCCCAGGAGGTTGAGGCTGCAGTGAGCAATGATTGTACCACTGCACTTCCAGCCTGGGTGACAGAGCGAGACCCTGAGTTATCATCCTATAATTCTTTATTTAGAGGTTGATGGTATTAATAGATTGATCCATCTTATGTAATTGGTAAAACACTTAGATAAATACTTTTCGTGAATCTACATCTGCTAGATTATAATCACTAGTTCATATGTAATGAAATTTAAGGTTTTCCAGTAATCTCTTAATAACATAAATAAAGAATACTTATTGTTAAATAACATAAGTAATAGCATCAGTTGCTTGGTGTTTTATAGAATTATGTTTTATACTTTTAAAAATACTCTTTTTAAAAAAAAAATCAAGGTGGTAGACTCGGAAAAGTGAAGGGTCCAACATTCCGAATATCAGGAGTACAGGTGAATGCCAAGCTAGTCATCTCCCATGAAGAAGAATTAATACCTTTGCACAAATCCATTCCTTCTGATCCAGAAGAAAGAAAGCAGTGAGTTACTTATTTTCTCCATTGTAAGATTTTTCTTAGTCAATAATTACAAAATGAATGTGCTTAATTTTTATGGTGTTATTGCCTAGTTATGAAAAAAAAAATCAAAGAAATAAAGCATAGTATTTTAAAGTTCTAATGACTCACGCTTTTCAAAATTAATTTTTCAGTAAGGCAATTACAAACTTACCATTAGTTATTAACTTTAATGCCAGGTATACTATCCCATGCCACACAAAGGCAGCTCATTTTGATATAGACTGGGGCAAAGAAGATGATTCCAATTTGTTAATTGGCATCTACGAATATGGATATGGAAGCTGGGAAATGATTAAAATGGATCCTGACCTCAGTCTTACACACAAGGTACTTCTATTTCTTGATTCTGTTGACCATTCATGTTTAATTTATTCTAATTCTTACTTTTAAATTATGTTGGAAATAATGGAAATATGTAAACCAAGGCTCTAGCTAGTTGTGTGACCTTGGTGTATTTAGAAGATGCCTTGCATGAAAAGATCAAATGTAAATGATTTCTGAGATTTTGCATTACTGTGAAATTATATGTTATTAAGGCAGTAGGTGTATTATTTTTCAGATTATTAGGTTAAAAGTTTTATTCTATCAAAAATTTTTTGATGCCTAGTAGATGTACATATTTTTGGAGGCGTGTGATAATTTAATACAATCATATAATATGTAGAGATGAAATCAGGGTAACTGGGACATTATCATCTTAAATATTTATCATTACACTAGGAACATTCAAATGATTCTTTTCTAGCTATTTTATAATGTATAGATTATTGCTAACTATAGTCACCCTACTCATCTATCAAACACTAGGTCTTATTTCTTCTATCTAACTATATATTTGTACCGATTCATCATTAATTTTATTATTCCAGTAAGACAAAATCATTAAAATCTTTTATATATTTTTTTAAAAACATCGGTATTTTAGTATTTTTGGTCATTTGGTTGCACCGTGCTAGCTGAAATCTTTTTTTTTTTTTTTGGCCTAAAACGGGAAACACTGGGAGAACTTCCTTATTGTTTATACTTATGTGTTGGGAACCTTTAGATATTGGTGCTTTGTTACTGTGAAGAAAAAATTAAGTAGTCTAGATTCCCCTATAAAACTTTCCTCCCAGTGTATGCTTTAGGTCTTCTTCTAGAAAGATGACATCTTGTATTCTAGGAATTTTTTTGTACATTATATATAAATACACTTTTACTGAGAAGGGAGGGCATTTAAGGATTATATAACATGGAATAACAGTGGATGTTAAGTACACTTTTGTATATTTGAAGGAAATTTACGACCTCATACTTTCTATTTCCATTTTGAAAGATAATATGAGGGTATTTAAAGTATATTTAGAATTCATTCTCAGAAAAATTAAATCTTTGGCTCTGGCATAGGTATAAAAAATGTATTTTGCATTGAGTTTATTCCTACAAATACTAATAATTGAAACTTGTTGGTGAACTCTATGTGTATATATATATATTTAAATGGTTAAGCATGTTTTACCCAATAAATTTCTCATGTTATTTATTAAGACAATGTGAAAACGTTAATTGCTTTTTCAGATTCTTCCAGATGATCCTGATAAAAAACCACAAGCAAAACAGTTGCAGACCCGTGCAGACTACCTCATCAAATTACTTAGTAGAGATCTTGCAAAAAAAGAAGCTCTTTCTGGTGCGGTAAGTTAAGGCCCACATGCCTAAGACCAGTTTACTTTTTAGTAAGATAAATTTCGTTTACTTGACCATGCTAAACATCTGAAGTCAATATGAGCTTATATAAATAGATTTTTCTATAATTAAGTAGTTTTATTTGATCTTGCCATATTCAAATTTTACCTTAAATTATCTCGGCATACATGTTAAAACTGGTGAATCATAGCTTTTAGAAGTAGGATTGATTTTTTTCTAGTTTTGGAGAGGGATAAAGAAAATTCGTTTAGAGTGTGGAGTGCTTTTTGAGAAGTCAAGCCTGCATATCCTACATGACTGTTTTACTTGGAGTCATTAGAGTGCTTAAGGGACAGCATCATAGCTTGCCGAGCTTACTGAAAAAGAACAAAACAGACATCAAAAAGGAGGTGATTGGAAACTTAGAGCAACCGTTAGAAGTTTACCTATGACCATAATGTCAGTAACTACCTGTAGCATTAAAAATCATTCCTAATGCTGTCTCTTGTGCTATTGAATTAAGCTGAAGGTGATAATAATCTCAGAGGACAAAAAATTGTTTCTACTTCTCTCTGATTCTTTTTTTAAAGGAATAATAGTTGGCTAGTATTTTTTATTTACATTAATATTATATTTGACTCATTAAGTTATAGCACCTTTTTTGAGTTTCTAATGTTGGTACAGCTTATTACCAATATACTAAGGATCAGGTAGGTATATGTATTCTAGCCATTGGATTTAAAGTTTTTAAAAATGAAATCTGTAGAATTGGTTAAAATTAAAATAATGATTTTTAGGGAAGTTCAAAGAGGAGAAAAGCAAGAGCTAAGAAGAATAAAGCAATGAAGTCTATAAAAGTGAAAGAGGAAATAAAGAGTGATTCTTCTCCTTTGCCTTCAGAGAAGTCTGATGAAGATGATGATAAAGTAAGAATGTGTTTTAGAACAACAACCTTTTCTATGGAAAGGGAATTATGGCATGTTTTTGTGTACTTTACATTTAAAATTTGAACTAGTCCCTTAAAATTTGTATTTTAGGTACTGAAGACTGTGTGTGTGTGTGTGCGCGCGCACTTATGGTTCATGACATAGTCTCATTTATAGAACAGAATTCTAACTATCCAGTAGATATTATATAGCACTAGAGGCATAGAGCAAAGGTCCTTCCTTTTCAAACATTTGCCAGTTCGATGAGCTTCTGTCTCCTTTAATTGTATTATGAACTTGAACGGGACTGGCTTTATAGGAAGGTAAACATTGCATGTATAATTATTAGGGGGATTCTGGGCTGTCTTTCAGAATCCACATACATGCAATCTGTAGTCATGTGAAAAAAAAATTAGTCATTGTTAAAATTTGGTTAGTAATACATTGGCCATACTTGCACTTTTCAGGATGAGATCAGTTCTGTGAAACATCCAAATAAAAAAATTAAAACAGAAAGAGACAGTGAAGAAAAACCTGAGCCAGATGTTTTTATAAAGAAGGAACCAGAAGAAAAGAGGGAAGCAAAAGAAAAGGAGAATAAAAAAGAACTTAAAAGGGAGATAAAAGAAAAAGAGGATAAGAAAGATATAAAGGAAAAAGATTTTAAAGAAAAAAGAGAAAACAAAGTAAAAGAAGCTATACAGAAAGAAAAAGACATAAAGGAAGAAAAGGTATGCAAATCATAATAAAAAATAGAAAGTAAAAACAATCAGCATATTTACATTTTAGGAGACTAAATTGCATATCAGCCGATGCTAGTCTCAATAACTGAGTTCTTCAGAAGCATGTGTGGGTATGCAGTAGAGGAGAATAATAGGTCTGAACACTCTTTCATGTTTTACCTTCAGAGTAACATTACAGAGTAGCTTTGGTTGTTTCCCCAAATGAAATTGGGGAAAAAAAATTAAAATAGATGAGGATATTCAATGAGAATGAGCACTTGTAGGATAAAATGAGACAGTAATTATTTTCTGGAAGTGTTAGTCATTTTGCCTTTGTTGCTATTGGGGTTTTGTTTTTGTTTTCTTTTCACTTTTTCTTTAGTTGAGCGAATCCAAGTCTGATGGTAGGGAAAGATCCAAGAAATCTTCAGTGTCAGATGCTCCAGTTCATATCACGGCAAGTGGTGAACCAGTTCCCATTTCTGAAGAATCTGAAGAGCTGGATCAGAAGACATTCAGCATTGTAAGCCTTTGACTTTCTGATTATTAGTACTAAATCATGTAACATTTAAGTTGAAGTTTGTCATTTATAGCTTTTAATTTAGAACTGCATTTGAATTTATTGTAGATTAGATTGATATAAGCAATATATTTAAAATTTGAAGGCTTCCTTTTTTTTTTTTTTTTTTTTTTTTTTTTTTTTTGAGTTAGCATCTTACTCTGTCACCCATGCTGGAGTGCAGTGGTGTAGTCACAGCCGATTGCAGGCTCACCTTTCTGGGCTCAGGCGCTCCTCCTGCCTCAGCCTCTCGAGTAACTGGGACTAGAGACATGTGCCATACACCCAGCTAATTTTTAGTTTTTTTGTAAAGATGGGGATTTTTTTATATCACCCAGGCTTGTCTTGAATTCCTTGGTGAAAAGGAGATAAGCCTGGGTGTGGTGGCTCACACCTGTAAGCACTTTGGGAGGCTGAGGCGGTGGATCACCTGAGGTCAGGACTTTGAGACCAACCTGGCCAACATGATGAAACTCCAAATACAAAACTCTAATACAAAATTAGCTGGGCGTGGTGGTGGGCGCCTGTAATCTCAGCTACTCTGGAGGCTGAGGCAGGAGAATTGCTGGAACCCAGAAGGCTAAGGTTGCTGTGAGCTGAGATTGCACCATTGCACTTCACGTGACTACGTGCCCGGGCCGGCAACAGTGAGACTCTATCTCAAAAAAAAAAAAAAAAAACAAAAAAAAACAAGGGAGATAAAAGGAGGCCAAGGTGGGCCCAGGTACTGGGATTACAGGCTTGAGTTATCATGCCCAGCTGGTGTCTTAAATTTAGAAGCAATTCAGAGAGACTTTTTAAGAAAGACTTTAAGAAGAGGGGTTTAACAAGTACTTTGAGTGTATTTGTTTTCCTCCAGCTCATATTTCAAATTTTTAAATTCCCGAATGCCATTAAAAAATAAAATAGGCCGGGCGCGGTGGCTCAAGCCTGTAATCCCAGCACTTTGGGAGGCCGAGACGGGCGGATCATGAGGTCAGGAGATCGAGACCATCCTGGCTAACACGATGAAACCCTGTCTCTACTAAAAAAACCACAAAAAACTAGCCGGGCGAGGTGGCGGGCGCCTGTACTCCCAGCTACTCGGGAGGCTGAGGCAGGAGAATGGCGTGAACCCGGGAGGCAGAGCTTGCAGTGAGCTGAGATCCGGCCACTGCACTCCGGCCTGGGCGACAAAGCGAGACTCTGTCTCAAAAAAATAAAAATAAAAATAAAAATAAAAATAAAAAAAATAAAATAAAATAAAATAAATATGTGTATATACACACACATGTATATGTAATTGTGCTTGTTATCTATGGTGAAGGACTAGTTTTTTTGCCAGTCTTTTGCAGACCAATATTTTTTTAAAAAAATACAGTAAGAGTGAAATGTTTCACTAGAAAAGTAAAATAAGAAAAAATTATGTACAAAATATGAGCCTAATGTTTTGTTAGTAGATGCAGTAGCTGTAAAGTTGCATTGTCAAATTATACGACTTTCTAAACAGGTTCAATTTTTGTACCTATGTATGTTGTTTTGGACTGGCAATATCTCTTGTCTAAAATATACTGATTCTGCATGTTGTCATGCCTTTGTGTTCCTCAAAGTGAGGGAGAAACTATGTGTGCCTTTTCTAAAGACTTTATTTACTGAAGATATTTATAATTTTTGTATTTATTTATAATTTACTCAATGTATATATTCATAATTTATTTACTGAATATTATTGTATACTTACGTAATTACATAATATAACAGTATGTATGTGGTTAATAGTACTGACTCTTGAGGCAGAATGCTGCTATTTGGAAAGTAAGTGTGAAGATTAAATGAATTGGTACATGTAAAGTTTGCAGATCAGTGCTGTCTTCAGAAAAGCTCAGAAAGCTCAGAAATTGATAGTGATTGTGAGACTAAAAAGTCCAATTGCAGAGCAAAACCAGGAAGGAATAATAATTTTAGAGAAAAAAGCCAAGTGGTATGAGACAGATACGTAGTTTGGCCTTAACTAGGACTAGGAAATGTTTCCTTACAGGCCACAACTGAAGGTAACATTTGTAGTCTGATATATAAATGTATCATGTTTATATATAGTTACAATATATACAAATTTATGTATAAATATATAGTCCTATATTTCCTTTTTAGAGAATGCATGACAACATGCATTTCTAGAATCTGAATCTTTTGTACCAGTTGGAGCAGTTAACGTACTTCAGTCACTTGTTAGACTTGGTTGTTAGTTTTATCACTAGTATTAATCAAATGCTATACTTCAAAGAGGGAAAATTTCACCTTCTAAAATTGTATTTGTTTTTGACCCATTATGTCCTTCTAGATCCCCAGCTTACCCTCTTGTCCTGCCTTCTCTTCTTTTGCACCATGACTAGACAGTGCTGATTTAATGAACCCACTAATGTATTTCCTACTGATTGCACAACATGCCCTAATATAGTTCAAATATTGTTCATGCCCTTTAAATATATTGGTTCTTACCAGTCTTCTTGTTCTCCCTACTTTGAGCTGTTGACATTCTTCCAGTCACTGAGAATATTGGAGACACTCAAAGCTGCTGTGGCTCCTATCTTCCATTTTATTTATTTGAGCCATATGTTTTATCTCTGGACTTTTATTTTTATCTCCTCTGCAGATTCACAGGTTGGGATTTCTTCTCTCTTTTTCAAGGGTAACTGTTTTTTTGTTTTTGTTTTTGTTTTTTGTCTACTCTGTATTGGGTGGGACTCGGGGGAGGTGGTATTCTTTTGCTTTTTTGAAGTGAAAACATTAAACTCTTCACTTGAGCTACTTCCCCTTCTCTCTGTGGTCCACTAATGAATTAGGTGAGATTGTACCTTTTGCCACTTTTTTTCCCCCACATTTCTTTTTTAGTTTTCTTACTTTTTCATGTAACTGCTGGAATGGAAAAATTCCTACTGTGCACAATGCATGAATTTTTTCTCCATTGATCTTAAATGATATTGTGTGTATCATGGAAATGAAGACCGGAATAGTTCTTAAACATGGACTCCGGAGCCAGACTTTCTGGCTTGTATAGGATTTTACCTCTAAGTAAGAAATTCCATTGTATTTGGGAATAGCTCTAAATAATTATGAAAATCAATGGCCTTTTCTAGGTCGTCACTCTCTAAACATATTTGCTTCATTTGGCACCTTGGTTTTCCTTATCTTTTACTGGTTGTCTTCCTAAGTGACAGTATAATTTAGCAGTCAAGAAAGAGCACAGAGTCTGAGGTCAGTTAGAGCTGGATTTGACAGATGTCATTTTATTCTAAGTTTCAGTTTCTTCTATAAAATAGATTAAATACTACTGCAAAGGACTATTGTCAGGGTCTATTCTTATTGCTTCCATCCTGCTCATACCTCCGTTGGCACTCCACATAGCAACCAGAGTAATCATGACTTAGAGGGAGAATAAAGTCCCACCATTATATTTCTGTGCTTAAAACACTCCAATGGCTTTCTGTCTCATGTAGGAGAAAAGATTCTTAGCCTGAAACCAACCTCGTAGCATCTAGTCACCTCCCATCATTGCCGGCCACTTCTCTCACTTACTTGGTTCCAGCGACACTGGTGTTCATACTTCTTTTTAAAACATATCAAGCAAGTTTTAGGGCATTCATGTTTGTTTTTTCCTCTACTTGGAATGGCTTACTCCTTCATTTTCTTTAGATGTCCTCTCAAACATTGCCCTTCTCTGAAATCTTGTATAAGATAGGAAGCTCCCTGCTCTTTATTGCTTTATTTTTCTTTATCACAGTTGTTGTCACCTGACACACTATTTCTTCTTTATTTATTGGCTCTCTAGTGTTATGCTAGATTCCAGGTTCCATAAAGGCAGGATCTGTTTTAGTTACAGCTCTATTTCCTGGGTCTGGAACAATATCTAGAACATAGTATGTACTAAACTGACATATGTTGGATAAATTATTTTCTAACAGAATATAAACTGCCAAAGTTGAACAAAAAATAGGAAACATAAAGAACAGCAATGAATAAACTAAAAGTTAGAAAGGAAATTAAAGATTTTCTTAAAGCATCAGATCTGACTGAATTTTAATTTTCTTTATAATAAGAGAGGTCCTTCAGAGCAGTGGTGTGAGGATTTATTATTTTATTTTTTTGAGATACGGTCTCACGCTTGCCCAGGCTGTAGTGCCAGTGGCATGATCACAGCTCATTGCAGTCTCCTGGGTTCAAGCAGTCCTCCCACCTTGACCTCTTGAGTAGCTGGGACTACATGTGTGTGCCACCATACTTGGCTAATTTTTTTTGTTTTTTTTTTTTTGGTATAGAATCAGAGTCTCACTGTTGCCCAGACTGGTCTCAAACTCCTGGACTCAAGTGATCCTCCCGCTTCAGCCTCCCAAAGTGCTGGGGTTACAGGCATGAGCCACCACACCTGGCCCGATTTCTTAATAAAGATTATCTAAATGTATTGTCTGATGTTGACCCATCATCCTTATATACCTAGAACTAAACCAGCTTGCTTTCTGTGAATATAATGTTAATTTTTAATTTGTTTTTGCATTTACAAATTTTATCTGAAGGTTCCCTTGTTAGTAATATTTTTATTTTGATTTTGGTAGAAGGTTGTAGTTCCTATTGCTACAATAAAACATGCAGTTCTTAATATGTCAGCCTTTTATAAGCATGTCAGGAATGTACAGGCCAAGGAAAAAGTTACCCTTTGACCCTGTATTCCCCAACCACCCAAAATATGAAGAGCAAGTCATTATTGCCACCTTCTGTTGTTGCAAAAGTTTAGAAGAATAGACAGTTATATATATAGCTATATTGATTTTAATAGTTTTGCTAAAATCATTTTACCCTGTATTTAGTGGATAGTAGGGTATATTAAGTTATACTCTGAAATATTTTTACTCTCTTTTAATATTCTATATTTGACTCCTTATAATAGTGTGCTACAGTATAAAAAATAACCATTTATGTAGAAGCTAAGTAAAATCCAAAACTTTTACTTACTCAAATACTAATTTTAAATGATAACAGAAAGGCTTACTTTCCTGAAAAAAATCTAAAGGGGAAAGAACCCTGATGTATAAGATTTGTGAAGTGAGATTTAATTGCTTATTTTGCTATCAAACAGTGTTATAATATTCATGTAAATATCATTGAAGGAGGTAGATCTTGTTGACTTTAGATTTTTAATACATGTGTTTATATTCTTGTTTTCTCATTTTAAAGTGTAAAGAAAGAATGAGGCCTGTTAAAGCAGCTTTGAAACAACTTGATAGGCCTGAGAAAGGCCTTTCAGAAAGAGAACAACTAGAACATACTAGACAATGTTTAATAAAAATTGGAGACCATATCACAGAATGTCTAAAAGAGTATACAAATCCTGAACAAATTAAGCAATGGAGAAAGTAAGTGATACACTTTTCAGGAAGTGTTAAATTTGTATTATGTAACTGTCTTTTGTTTTTCTGTTTTCTTTCCTGATTCTGAAGTTTAGGGAACAAGATAATTTTTAAAGAGGTAACCTGCAGATGATTGTTTTAATTTTTCTCCCTTTAATGTTAAAGTTTTTTATTTATGAGTGGTTACTTAGGTATCATGGTATGTAACAAGTGGCATCTCTGCCTTTAAAGAAATAGTGACAGCTGTTTCATTAAAATTCAGATTGCATTTTATTTGAAAAAGTCTTTGCAATTTACCAAATTATTATCGGTAATATCTTTTGAAGTTGATGTTCCCACAGAGTTTATTGTTGCATGAATTTAGCAATTTACATCCTGGATACATGTATAAAGTTGTAAAAATTAACATCCTCAAGCAATGTAAAATGCAAAAATTAGGAAAATAAAAGTAATGTAGTGCATTATTCTTAAAGCTAAATTTAGCTAATCTAAAGGATTATATTTAATTTCTTCTCTACTTTTTTTAGTGTAAAAATGCTTGGCTTCTATCTTTTACATTTAACCGGAAATACAAAATTTGAAAGCCTGGCAACTTCTCATTTAAATAATACCTTTTGCCAAGAATGGGTTATCATTTTTGGAGGACCACTGAATGAAAATATTTAGTTGTATCTTACACACCAATATTTGAATTCTTGTAATTAGGGCTTAGATTTTTGAGGTTCAAAGAGTTAGAATATCTACTTTTTCTGCGTTCTAGATGAGAAATAAGGAACATCTTATTGAAATTACACAGTGAATTTGGTTGAAAGTAAATTTAAAAATGAGCAAAGAATTAAAGAATTTGAAATAAAATTTTAAGTAAAATAAAAAAATTACACAGTGACTAACATAAATAGGTACCATTTCAAATTCGGTTTGTTATTAGGAAACAGTGGGGAAACCTTTGGAAGAAGAGAGACTTAATAGCCAGGAGACTTAACTTTTTCATTGTGTTCTGTCACTTTACATCCTAAGGCTATGCTCTCACCTCACTTTTCTTCATTCAGTTGGGCAGATTACCTTTTTGGTTTTCCCGTTTGGTTCTCAGTTACTTTGATTTCGTATGCCTTATTGTTCATTCCTGCTACCTCTGTCTCTGGTTAAACCAAATTCCCTTAAGAGGGAGATGGGGAAGGAAAGAGGGAAATAGCCCATGAAGCAAAATAGCTTTTGCTCTCTTGGAGAAATTGTATTTTTATTTATTCATTTTTTTGAGATGGAATCTCACTCTGTTGCCCAGGTTGGAGTGCAGTGGCGGATATCGGCTCACTGCATCCTCTGCCTCCTGGGCTCAAGCTATCCTTCCACCTCAGTCTCCCTGGTAGTGTGGGATTACAGGCCCAGGCTACCAGGCCTGGCTAATTCTTGTATTTTTTGTAGAGACGGGTTTCACCATGTTGGCCAGCCTTGTGTTGAACTCCTGACCTCAAGCAGTCTGCCTGCCTTGGCCTCCCAAAGTGCTGGGGGGAATTTTTTTTTAATACAGAAACAAGAAAAAAAAAGTACCTTATATTGAGACCTATCATTGGCTCACCCCATCCCCTCAACAACAGTCATTGTGGGCCAGGCGCGGTGGCTCATGCCTATAATCCCAGCACTTTGGGAGGCCAAGGCGGGCAGATCACGAGGTCAGGAGATGGAGACCATCCTGACTAAGACGGTGAAACCCCCTTTCTACTAAAAATACAAAATAAAAAAAAAAAATTAGCCGGGCATGGTGGCACGTGCCTGTAGACCCAGCTACTCGAGAGGCTGAGGCAAGAGAATCACTTGAACCAAGGAGGCAGAAGTCGCAGCTGTTTTGCTTTATGAGATATTTCCATCTTTCCTTCCCCGTCTGGGGAATTGTACAGAATGAAAGAAGATAGAAATCTAAAGATTACAGAACGGTTAGCATTAAGCAAGTGTTACAGTAGTTACCATAATGATCTTTTTGTTTTTTGCTTACAATTTTTTTCAATATATTTTTTGACCAAATTTCTTAAAAACAACTGAAATGCAACACTAGTTTTTATTTAAAGATCACTGTAATAAAGTGACGGCCAAAATAGAATGTATATTTGTATTTTATTCGTCTATCAAATATGCCTCATTCTAGCTGATACTTAGTATTACTTGTAGGAAATACGAACAGATATTTACTATTCCATTTTACAGAAGGAAAAAAATTGATTCAGTTGAAAAGCATTTTAGGGCTGGAACTGGAGAATGACAGAGGAAACACTAGGACCTGAACTCTAAAAGAGGCACTAATTCTTAGGTTTGTGTAAGTGCTGATGCTTGCCTCAGCTCTGGTGCTTTGTTCAAGATCAGATAGTCATTTGGATGATATAATTAAGACCAGAATCTGGTTCCTGACTAGATTTTTTGGGGGGAAATATGTATATGTATGTGTGTGTGTGTGTGTGTGTGTGTGTATATTTTTTTTAATTTTAAAAAAATTTTTATTTATTTATTTTATTTTATTTTATTTTATTTTATTTTTTTTTATTTTTTTTTTTTTTGAGACGGAGTCTCGCTCTGTTGCTCAGGCTGGAGTGCAGTGGTGCGATCTCCGCTCACTGCAAGCTGTGCCTCCCAGGTTCATGCCATTCTCCTGCCTCAGCCTCCTGAGTAGCTGGGACCACAGGTGCCCGCCACCACGCCCGGCTAATTTTTTTGTATTTTTAGTAGAGACGGGGTTTCACAGTGTTCGCCAGGTTGGCCTCGATCTCCTGACCTCGTGATCCACCCGCCTCGGCCTCCCAAAGTGTTGGGATTACAGGCGTGAGCCACCGCGCCCGGCCGGAAAATATGTTTTTACAAGGAATTTACTTAGGAACAAAAAGGTACTTTATTAAATTCCCACCTTTTACCCTTATGAGTTAACCTTAGAATGTAGATATGTTCGAGATAGTCTGTGAATTTATGTAAAGGCTAGATGAATTTTCCCCCTTCTGTGGATTTCAGTTCAGTAAGGTACCATTCAATATATTCTCTTAAGTTCATTTTAAAAATATATTTCAAGGTAAATATTTTACCTCTAGCGTACATTTGAATCTTCTAGGGACTACTACCCTCCCTTAGAACTTAACATTCCTTTTCTTTTTGGAGGTATATTTAACAATTACAGTTCTTATATATTTAAGGTATACAGTTTGATGATTTGATATACACATGCATTATGAAATAATCACCACAGTTTCTGATTAATTACTGATGCCTCTGTTGGAATGGCAAGAGATACCAAGCTGTACCTCATTTATGGTGTTTGATCGTGTTAACTCTTGGGACCATTACATTACTATTATTAAGTGACAGTTACTTTTTAATGCATTATTTAAGACAATTCTTTACAAGCATAATCCGTATTACCTGATGGTCTTTCCACTCCCAATTATTAACATACCTGTCACTTATGTGCATAATCAGGATCACAGTATGAATCTGAATCACTTCCTGATTTAATTTATATCTTTGGTGCATTTCAAATTAGGATTGTTTACTGCTTTTCAGTCTAAAGACTATAAAATGAAGTGATCTGGAAGAGAAGTAAAATATAATGTTTAGTTTCACTGGAGTCTTATTCATATATAAAGTTTTGAAAAAATACATAGAATTAATATCCTTAAGAGTTTGTTCCATAGAGGGCTGTGTATGTGTGTATGTGTTTCTGTTTGGAGGGAAGGAGTTCCATGAAAAAAACTAAATATTTTCCACCAGACTAATGTAATTTGCCTTTTTTTTAATTCTTCTAGAAACCTATGGATTTTTGTATCTAAGTTTACTGAATTTGATGCAAGAAAATTACATAAATTATATAAGCATGCTATTAAAAAACGGCAGGAATCTCAGGTAAACTTGCCATCATATTTTTTCCCTTAATTTATATAATTAAAACCATGAGACATTCTTTTTACAAAGCAATTTGATTAATAAATACAGAATGAATAAGATAAATTTTAAAAATCACCATTGAACACCACAGTAATAATTGTTGCAGGCAAGATTCACAGAAGGGAGGTAAAGTTAATGGGCAAGAAAATAGGATATTGACAGATCTCCTCTGAAATGTTTATTAATTATAAAGGGAAAATAATAACTTTATAATAGAGAAACGTGCCTGACCCACCTTAAACAAGTGATCAAGGTTAATGTCACCAGTGGTAAGACACATCAGCATCATGAACCCTCTGATACTGAGAAAGGCACATCACTTATGTGGAATTCTTGCCAAAAATATGTAAGTGTTATGTGAAAATATCAGACAAGCCCTTCTTGAGGGATATTCTATAAAATAACTGTCTGCTACTCTCCAGAAGTATTAACAGCATGCAGTAGACTAAGGAGCTGCCCCAGAGGAAGACATGACAACTTAGTGTAATATGGGCTTCCAAATCGAATCCCCGAGCAGATAAAGAACATGAGTGGAAAAATGTGAAATCTGAATGAAGTCTGTTCTTCAGTTAATAGTGTTATACCAATGTTAATTATTTGGTTTTGATCTATATAGTATGTTTATATAAGATATTAACATTAGGAGAAGCTAGATGAAGGGTATGTGAGAACTCAGTATTTTTGCAACTTTTCTGTTAAGTCAGTTTATTTCAAAGTGAAAAAAATATCTTTAAGTCATGGGACAAGTAGTTCATACTTTAAAAATGGAGATCTATAAATGTCATACATGTATATATACACACACATATATATACATATATGTACACACATAAACACCTTGTTTGAAGACTTCAGTATTTTCTAAGAATACTGAATACCTTGTTTGAAGACTTCAGTATTTTCTAAGAATTATCCTTTTTTGTAAGTTTGTGAAGTCACCTAAAGATTCTTACACATGTGTGCATTTATTTTAGCAAAACAATGATCAAAACAGCAACTTGAATCCTCATGTGATTAGAAATCCAGGTATGTAAGCCTTACGGATTGGGAAAATAAATTTAAAAAAATTTTTTTTTTTTAATATTTGTTTTAAATAAACTAAATGTTAAAAAAGTTCTTACCTTGTTTTTATTTACAAGTACCTTTATATTAAGAAGATACGGTAATTCTGATACATACCTACATTATTATATAAAATGTATTCTCTTAAGCTGTGGTTCTTTTTAGTTGATTATCCTTTTAATCATCCTTTTCCCAGTTTCTAGAAATTGTAGAATAACTGTTAAAATGAACAAATATTCTTTTTTATGTAATTTGGAATAGTAATGCATTCTTTCTGTATGAGAGCCACAAAAGTATAGTCTGAGAAAGGAATGGGTCCCATATTTTTTAGTTTTTGTCACATTTCAGAATCAAGTGACCCTTTTAAAATAATCCTTAGTATTGCTTTTATACACCATTTATAAATGCTTCAACTGCTTGTATTTGGGAACCAATTTTGTTTTGGCAAGGGTTGAAACGAGTTCTTGTTATCTATCAACTTAAGTTTTTTTTGCCACATATTATTTTTAAGGTCGTTAATAAAAGTTGTACTTATCTAACAGATGTGGAAAAATTAAAAGAGAATACAAATCACGATGATAGCAGCAGGGACAGTTATTCCTCTGATAGACACTTAACTCAGTACCATGATCATCATAAAGACCGACATCAGGGAGATTCTTACAAAAAAAGTGAATCCAGGAAAAGACCCTATTCTTCTTTTAGTAATGGTAAAGACCATCGTGATTGGGATCACTACAAGCAAGACAGCAGGTAAACTTGGCAGTCACTTTAGAAATTTTGCTTATGCATGTCTTTCTCCTTATCATGATGTTCCTGTATTTAACCTATCAACTAATTCAATCTTCATGCAGTCAAAACAAATCTTGTGAAATAAAGGTGTTGTATATAATTAAGAAAAATTTATATATTTTAAGAACTGAATTTCTCTATAAAATGGCTTTTGAATCATAAAATTGAGATCAAAATATGTAGTAAGAAAGTTAATGTAGGGAGTTGCATAATTATAAATTGTGTGGGATTCATTGTTGGTTTTGGAGAATATTGGTTCAAATACTCTTTAAAATATAATAAATGGGATAAAATAAAAACTTGATATAATAGTGGTTCAGGTTTGGCTTAGGAAATTTTGTATTCCATATTTTTAAAAAGTCATGAGGGGAAAAATTAATATATGCAAACACATCTCGTTGAGGTTAAACTTCATCTCAGCAATCTGGAATATTCTTGGAACCAGGAGGGTTTTTTGTTTATTGTTGTTTTTTGAAGCCTTTGAACAGTAAGCAACCTCAGTGTAATAACATAGAATACTTTTTATTCCTTTATTGATAAAGAAGTATTGTCAGTAGTTAATGATCATTACTAAAAGTAAACTTGAAAACAGATTTATAGTATTTATGCTTTTATAGTAAGTAGAAGAAGCAAATTAGAAGACATTCTTTGTATTTTAGTTGTGTTCACTACAATTTCTTTGAGAACCGCTGTCAACACTATGAACACATCAGTTGTAGAATGTCTCTTATTATTAGAAAGCATCAAATAATTAAAAGATAAAGGCAGATTTGTAATATATATTTCACAGGCTTGTTCAATATAGTTGTTTGTAGTAAGGTCAACAGAAAAGGAACACATTATCTTCAGTGTGTGTCACTTTGGAAAAGGCACTCATTTTAGAGAATACTTCTCATTAAACTGCCACATTTATTTTTTGTCAAGCTGTCACGTTTTGGAGTAAATTTCTTAATGATTCATGTGTCACGTCTTACTAACTAGTCAAACTTGAGGAAGCTTGTAATAGGCATCAGCAACCAGTGAAAAATTGTTTCAGATTATTTCGTAGACTGCATTCTAGCATTTTTAAACTTTTTCCTGCTTAGTGGTTGATAAAAGACTCTGGTCTCAGGAGTGTTTCAGATAGTTGTAATAGTCTTAATTTCAGCTTTCAGACAATTAAGATGCAGTCATATAAATGATTTGTAAAATAAAAAGCAGCTAATTATCTAAAATAGCCATGTGAAATTAGATGCTATTTTAAGGACTTTGTATGGTTCATATTAGTTTTATGAATCAAATAGTTTTTCCAAAGAGATATTTCCAGTGATTTTTGAGTTAATTTAGTAAGTTTTATAATGAAACACTGAGCTTGTATACAGTTAAAAACATGTTTGAAGTTATTTTTATGTTTTTTAGTAATCTTTTATTTGGAAACATTTTAATTTGCATTATTTATCTAAAATTCTCAATTTTTCTTTATTAGATATTACGGTGACAGAGAGAAACACAGAAAACTGGATGATCACAGGAGTAGAGATCACAGGTCAAATTTGGAAGGAAATTTAAAAGATAGATCTCATTCTGATCATCGTTCTCATTCAGATCATCGGTTACATTCAGACCACCGATCAAGTTCTGAATATACGCACCATAAATCTTCCAGGGATTATAGGTATCACTCAGATTGGCAAATGGACCACAGAGCTTCCAGCAGTGGCCCTAGGTCACCACTAGATCAGAGATCTCCTTATGGCTCCAGATCTCCATTTGAACATTCAATTGAACACAAAAGTACACCGGAGCATACCTGGAGTAGTCGGAAAACATAACAAAAACTGCTATTTCGTCTTTCTGGACTTTTAGCCATATATCATAAACCAACACAGTAATTGCCTTACATGACTTGAAAGATATAAACAGATCTTCTATCAGTAGCAGTATTGTTACTTCTTTCCAGGATGCAAGGTCTATTATCCCAACAGAAGAGAAAATATTTTTATATTTAAGGATTATGCTGCACTGTACTACAAATGTTGTAGTACTTTTTTTTTGTTTGTTTCTTTTTTAAAGAAATGGAAAATGTTTACTATTACAGGGACCTCAACACTGCCCTCCCATACAGGCTGGATAAAACTGTTTTTAAGTCAGTGATTTTAGACTGACCTCCATTTAAATTATGTTTATATATGAACTTTACTCTGACCTGTGATCATGTTTCAGGAAGGAATGAAAGAGAGTTCTTTCTTAATAAAGAAAAACACTCAAGGACTTTGTTCATTTCCAAAGCTACTTGTTTACATTGTACACTGCGACCACCTTGCCGCTTTTCATCACAAGCTTGAATATTTAAATTCTGTACTTATATCTGTAAAATAGCCAGGAATTTCCTGTTTGTGATCTATTATTATGCCTTTTTACAAAAAAGAAATGGCTGTAAATTACTGTAAATATTAAAGGAACTTTCCTTACTTCCTTCCCTTTCTCAGGCTTTTTTTGACTGTTCCTTTCCCTACCAACTCAGGCCTTCTTATTAAAAAAAAAAAAATCAGTGTAATAACACTTTTTAATGATTTGTCTTGATGGAATCATTGTTTAGAATGTAAAAATGGGGAAAGGGGCCACTTTAATTCCATTAGTCCTCTTTTTATACTGAATATTTTATTAGATACATGTTATTTCTTCCCCCTTTTTTTTCCTTTTTTAGTCAATATTGTGTTTGTAGTTTTAAAATGGCGAGATGATATGTAAAATCTTAAACTGCATGCTCTGGAAACATTTTTTTCAGATGCATCTGGTTTAAAAGGGTAGGTGTATAAACACTTTTCAGAATCCAAAACGGCCAAAAGTTATTGTAAATCTGTTTGTTTTCCCGTTTCATGTGGGCAATAATGTCAAATGTGCTATGCAGCCAGGTTAACATTTTAGATAAACTTGATTGACTTTTAATATAAACTGTTACAATGCACACTGATTGTATATAAAAACCTTATATATGACAAATTAAATTTAAGAAAAAGGATATGTGGGCTCCTGTAATTTTCTGCTGCATTCTTACTCCCTCAAGCACTTAACACCCCCCGCACTCCCTTTTTGAGTAACGTTTTGCTGCCAGAAAACGTATTTTGGTAAGCAGTTGAATATTTGTAATGTGTAGCATTACAACTAAATCTTTTGGAGAATATATGAATATTCCTATGAAGTAAAACTTAGGCCATAGACATTTTTGTTGGCCCCTTTTGGCTTCCTGCAGATATTATTATGGGATGCTTTATATTTATTCATAGATTTTTATTTTATATTCAGTGGGATTTTTAAAAGTCATGTGGTACATTCTAGCATGTATGCTTTGATGTAACAAATTTGAATCTTAACTTTGACAAACATAAGTATGTGGACATAATTTCTATAATATTCCTCTGTGTGTTACTGTTAGTTGGCTGTGGGAGCCACCTACAGATAACCTGTCCATAGATTTTTTTTTTTTTTTAATTTTCCTTTGTCCAATTAGGTCTATGTGTATAAAAGCTTGTGGGTTTTTTTGCTTTTTGTTTTGTTTTGCAGTAATTTCTCTTTCTGATACAGTTACCCTGAAGAATAATGATGGTTTATTTCTTTTCTGGTATATGAGATAACATGGGAGGGAATAGCTCAGTTTTTTAAACATCTAATTTATATTTAAATATAAAAGTAATGAACATAGTCCTGGCACACATTTTTGAAACTTTTATCACTTTTCTCTACATTTAGTATGATTATTTTATTCCACAGGCTAGCATTTGACTAATTCATGATGCTTAAGTCATAAGATCATGGCTGGCATTTTTTAATTTATTGCTTTGTAGTTGAGATACTTGCATAATATTCTATTGTGCAAATTTCACAGAACAATGTTGCATTTTCTGAGACAAGGGAATGGGCTCTAATTTTTAAAATAATGCTACATTTAGTTGAAAGTTTCAGTCAGCTGAGTTGAATGAAAAATATAGAACTGTATGTACATTTATCAAATGACAAAATATGTTCATTTTTTGTAAGAGATCAGTAAGTAGAAAAGACAATGGAGAAGAACAGTACATAAATATAGCAGAACATTCTCTAAAATTTGCTTATTTTTTGTCTTTCACATGTTCATTCTGCTTTGTTATTTTTATCCAGTTATGTTTAATTTTTCAAGGGTGAGAGATTATGCATAGTACTGTACCAATTAACCTTCCACTCTTATACAATAAATGATTCTTACTAAAAGCAATAGCCTGTTTGCTTATAAAGATATTCTTTGTTTAGAGTATGTTAGAAATTAATGTTCAGACTATGGAAAATGAGTTTGAATAATTTATTTTCAGAGTGAGTAGCTTAATGAGAACCTTTTTAATTTATGTAATGTAGATTGTATATATAATTTCTCTTTTTGTAATTAATATGAAAAGGTTGAGTAGGTTATTCATTTTCATGAAATTTATCAAGAATATGCTCTAGGGGTAAATGGCATGATTTGTATTTCTACGCCATTACTATCTCTAACTAGAAAATGATTTTTGCACCCCAATTTGGCTGTCATAGCTTTATAAATACAACAGCTTTAAAAAGGGATAGGGATTTGGAAGAGCAACTAATATTTAAATACGGGATTTTTTTAAAAAGACTTTCAGCTTCATAGGAAACTGCAAAAATGTTTTAAAATATTTCTGAGTTAATATGTAAAAGCACATTAATATAGATGCCTCTATTAAATACACATTACTCAATTTTAAAATGCAAACGAAACTTAGATTTTAGCACTGTACAATAATTGTAATGAATGGAGGATGTTATAGAGGACACAATTAGATAGTAATGCAACAACAAATATTTTGAGATAGTGTCAAAATGTGTTAAAATTTCTAAGACATTCAATTATAGATATTTTGAAGAAAATTTGAGATTATATTTTCTGACATTAGTAATTGATTTTGTGGAACACTTCATGCTAATTTTCTTAACTCAAAAAAAATTAAGACCTAATAGGTTGATTCCATTACAGAAATTCCTTGAATTCTGATGGGAAGATCTTGGAATAGGAAATCTTAGCTATGGTGTAAAAGGATGAAAGATGAGATTACTGGGGAAAGTAGGATTAATAAAAAATGTTAAAAGGTTGTTACAAGTACCTATACAAATTAATGGGGCTTCATGCACTGGATTTTCTACACTAAAAGGCCACTAACCACTCTGTCCTTTAGCTTAAAAAAAAAAAAAAATTTAGAGTATATTAGAAATTAATGTTCAGACTATGGAAAATTTTTTTTTCATAAAATTGTTTTTAAAAACAATTTTTTTAAGGTGTAAAAAAAAATTACACCTGTATTTGAAACAAAATTTGTAGTAGAAACTCAATTCATTCAAATGACTGAAATAATTTTAATTCCATGTTCTACTCCACATTTGAGTCCTGATCTAAAGATGAAACTAAAGAGGTATGAACAGTCTCAAACTCCTAACGATTCTGTTAAAGGAGCTAATGATATTGTTTGCGTTGGTGATACAAAAACTTTATGTGACTGAAAAATTATGTGTTGTCATTTCATTATTGTAGACTAATATTCATTAGATTTCAAATTTAGAATGAGCTATGGAACTACCACTACTTGTTACTTTTTTTATTTCTTCTGTTTACTTTTCAAATCTTTGCTTTATCTCTAGTGTTCTGTAGGCTGACTATATTAAGTCCTGTGGTGGTTTTATTATTATTATTATTATTTTAATTTCTTTTTTGATCAGCTGTTGCCTCTTACCCACTTCTTTTTACTTTCTGGAATCCAATGTCATTGTTATCATAAGACTTAATTTGATTTATTTCTCAACAGCTGTACTATTTTTTTTTCCTGTTTCTAGTGCTAAGTATCTTTAGCTTCAACCACTACCCTGAAGTCATCTCCACTTAGCTAACAATATGTAATTTTAAAATATGTAAAACCAAACAACCCTTTTACACTAATGACATTAAAAGTTTTAAAAACTACGAGGCTGGGTGCAGTGGCTCACTCTGTAATCCCAGCACTTCGGGAGGCCGAGGCAGGCAGATCACTTGAGATCAGGAGTCTGAAACCAGCCTGGTTAACCCGGTGAGACCCTATCTCTACTAAAAACACAAAAATCAGCTAGACATGGTGGTATGCGCCTGTAATCCCCACTACTCGGGAGGCTGAGGCAGGAGAATTGCTTGAACCCAGGAGGCAGAAGTTGCAGTGAGCCAAGATCACGCCACTACAGCGTGGGCAACAGAGTGAGACTGCCTCAAAAAAAGAAAGTTTTAAAAACTAGGGTCTTTGATAAATGCATTCACGGCTTTCTGCCTAAGGCACTTTCTACTTAGCTATTTCTGTTCTTTTTGCTTCACTTCAGTCACTCCTCTCAATACAAAGAAAATACTTCTTGATCTTTGCATTGTTGTCCATCTATTAAAAATGCTTATTTGTGATTTGTACAAAACTTGTTTCCTCAATTCAAGTTTCTTTCAGCTCAAATGTCATTTCAAGTCTTGAAATTAGTACCCTGCCCCATCGTTTTAAAAAGTCCCTTATCTTGCATCTTCTAGCATTACCACTGCTTATATATTTGGTTCATTTGCCGTTGACTGCTTCCCCACTAGAAGATAAGTTCCATTAGGGCAGGGACTTTATTTTGTTCACTGCTATATTCTCAGTACTTAATGCCTTGTATCAATTACATTGTTTTCATTTTTTTAGTGTCCTTCCCGGAAATGCTATGCCCTATAAATGGCCAGCGTTACCAAAATTTTTGTCTTACCATTGTTAACCTGATTTGTTAGTATCGGAAACTATGGTATGCTTTACTGTTTCATGGATTACTTGAGTCTGTTTACTAACTTCCAGTTTTTAAACTTGACTAATAAAAATCACCAGAGGTACTTGAGAAACATAGAAAAACGTAAGCCTCATCTCTTGGAATTAAAATGGCAGGGAAATGCTCCAAGTAATGGGGTTTTAATACCTCTTTCATTGACCTGAATAATTAATACAGAGGTTAATTCCACTGTCATAAATAATACACTAATGCTTAAATGAAAACCTGGTTTCTGTAACTATATGGCTACTTAGGAAATATAATCGATACTTTGCAAAGAGATATGCAGAGATGTGGTATATATAAAATAGGAAAATGTAAAAACATTTTGATTTGTCTATTGTTTTACCTTTCTTCTTCATTATTTTTAAAATTAGAAGTGGAGTCTTGCTATATTGCTCCAGACTGGTATCGAACTCCTGGGATCAAGGCAATCTTGCTCCCTCAGCCTCCCAAGTAGCTGGGATTACAGACTCAAGCCACAATGACTGGGTTGTCTATTCCCTTATCTTTCGAAAAGAAATATATTTTTAGATAGTATCATGAGACACTATCTTTTTTAACGCACAAGAGCACAACTTGTAAAAACACTAAGAGAAATATGTTGTATTTCCAATGTTTTTAAAGTAAAATTGCAGAAACAAAAAATATCCCCTCTGTTGCTGTTACTTGCTATATTTTTCCCATTAAGAAATTTACATCATGTTTACCCAAGTTAAATTCACCTTCTCTAGGCATACATCATGATGAGTTTTGACAGATTATGCAGTTGTTGTAACCATCAGCATACTTGAGATATAAAGTATTTCCATCTTATCAAGTAAGTTCTCTTTTGCTCCTTTCCCCTATACCAAGCCCTTGGCAATCACTGATTTGTTCCTATAGTTTTATTTTTCTCATAATGTCATATAAATGGAATCATATGTATGTTGCCCTTTGAGTTTGCCTTTTGCTTAGCATGATGCTTTTGTAATTATCCCTGATTTTGCATCTATCAGTAGTTCGTTTCCTTTTATTGCTGAGTGATCCTCCTTTCCCAGGTTGCAGTGGCACAATCATGGCTCACTGCAGCCTTGACCTTTTAAGTATGTCTGTGATTCATTTTGAGTTGATGTTTTCTATATTGTGTGGAACACAAAAAGTTGTGGGTTCTGTTACTATTTAAATATTATATAT